TGTTACGGAAGCTGGAGATTCCTTTGACGTTGTCATTGCACTGGTGAAGTTAATTACCTTGGTAAAATTGTGTTCTCATTAGATACAGTTTTACTTTTGATAAACATGCTAGGAAGCACGGTTTCAACTACAAGTCGGCAGAACAGATGAAGAAGTCAAATGAGGCCAGAATCAGGAAGGTAAGATACGCCTTCATCAACCTGAAATCAGTTTGGAAATCTTCTGCATTGTACTCAGCCAGCATAGACAACAAGGTTCGGATTCTGTTCAACACAAATGTGAAGTCAGTTCTTCTGTGCGGGTCTGAAACTTGCACTTCGTGTCAGTCACGAAAAGGATTTCCAACAAGCCACTGCAGACTTTTATCAACAGCTGTGCACTTCGCTGGTTCCGTACCCAGTGGCCAGCTGGCCGGCCAGAAAGAATTAGCAACAAGAAATTCTGACTGGGAACAAACCAACCAGGCGTCGATTATTTAACAAATATGTAGGAGAAACTGGAGATGGACTGATCGGGTATACATTGAGGAGGCCGTCGAATGACATCGCGCAATGCAGGCTATCGCTCAAGTGGAATCCCAATGGGAAGTGACGAGTGGGTCGTTGGTGCGAGGGTGACATGGAGGAGACGAGATATTATGGTCAATCGTGTGGCTAGCCAGCTTGAAAGGACAGCAGAACATAGAAGAGAGTGGAGATGTGTTATTGAAGCCATATATTCCACTCGGAGCCCAAGGGTATAATAATAATAATAAATAATGATGTTGAAAAACGTCCCATTGACTAAAAAGATATCTTGTACATGTAGATTTATTGATTCTAACGGACTAAAAATTGACACATCCATTATTATTGAGATCCACCCGAAATATCCATTTCTCTTTCAGTAACGAAATAAACGAGAAAAAGGATGGCATCAATTGCAGGTCTCTGTATGTTAAAACTTGAGAACAGACGCTTGAATATAATAATTAACAATCTTGACTTTTACCATAGATACTTAAATAACGCACACACATTCATAATTGCATGTATTAGCTCTAGAATTACTACAGTTATCCATGTAGTAGTACATATGATCTAGGGGACCATAGCTGATTTAATGAGCCATTCGCGGTTTCACCGTCTTAAGGTATATGCTTCGACATGTATAGCTTAATCTCTGAGACAAGCAGATGACTACTGGCAGGATCAACCAGTTTATTCACACAATGATTCACCCAATGACTGGGCATTTATACATTGGTTTTCAAGGGAACCAAGCACACACCCCTGCCGCTCGCGATATGACATCAGCATACAATAGCATCCTGTGGCGCAGCCACTCGAGGGACCTCTCCTTCGGTGGACTATTTTTACAATTAGTAGACATATTAATTTATAGGTGAGCACAGTTACTCCAATCACTCATCGCACCAATCAGTCATGGACTACGTAGACAAGTCCACTAGAACTCATCTTGCATACAAGACTAGCAAAACGCTTTATTATAGGCAAGAATAGCATGCACAGTAATGTGATGGTGACGCAGGCCTCTATAAACAAAGCCATCACCCACCTAATTCAATGAAATCGTTATTCCTGTCAACCAATTCAGCATGTGACTAGCCTCAATACGCCTTCCAAGACTACAGAAAACTATCCACAGGTATATTAGCGAGATATGCGGATGGCATAACACACACTCATACCTTCTATATCACGTCTGCTACGGTTAATACTGAATTTATGGATAGTAAGCAAGGCAGCCTAACTGAACGCTCTCATCCCCTAACAAGCTTAATACCTATGAGCTAAGGGATGATGATGCGACACACCAATTTTCCGACTTTTTGGACTCTGAGTTAAGTGTAATATCCCTAAGACTACAGATAGTTTAAAACAGATTTTACATTGTTTCAGCAGCTGCTGTAATCTAATTCACCGGAGTGAGGGAAATCGGTGCAAAAATATCCATTCTATATATGCAATTAATTGAACGTGGTAACAGAACGTTGGAACTTATACATATAGGAAGTCTAGATGGAACGAACAACTTGTTAACTTCCACGGATTGAAAGCTCTAAAAAAACTCCGAACCTGACTCATATTTTTGTCGCACAGTGCATGAATTGTAGATGCTATCACACAGGAACTAAATAGACTAAAAAAAACTTCTTGATAAACTTGCTGATGAGTGTCAACAAGCACGGAACCTAGGTCATGCAAGCCTTCCTGCTGAGTGTCTCCAACCATCATCAAATCAATGTGCACCGTTTTTTATGCCTTCCACTGTCAGAGGCTATGTCTCACAACCATAAAGGAGGACGGAGCAGACTGCTCAGCAGTACACACGTCCTTTGATCGATATCTGGCTGTATATCACATCTGAGCTAGGGGTTACGTCAAATACCACACAAAACCTTTGGTATAATTACTGGTAACAGGTAGATCCCTAGGTTGCTGAAGTCAGTTCCATTAATATGGCTATGATGAAATTAAACAGAAATAGTGATAGAGAGCATCCCTTATGGACACCACTGGTTATCATCATTTCAGATGACAAATATCCGTAAGCTCTTACACGACTTGAATTCTGGTAACCTGTTGGACTCATAAACCAGCTTTAGTGTCGTTCACAGGATATGTAGGAATCTCTTGAGAAAGTTAGGGACAAAAAATTTTCAAAATTCATATTCACTTTGACAATTGAGACTTTCCAGGAGTATGCGAAGAACGTTTAACGTAGGGAACCTGTGTTTGTCATTCTCTAGCCGACGAATGGTTGGGACGCGAACGAAGGATAAACTAGATAGTTTTGCCATAACTGTACCTGTGGTGACGGTTATGTTTAGCGTACTACTAGACAGTTTAACCGACGTGTTACTGAACATCTCCCATCGTGGTAGTTTGGCGAAGGACAGACATAAACAATCCGTAGCTTCATTTTGTCACGCTTCGTTGATAGTGGTCATGTAGTGGAGAAAACGAGAGCTTTCAAGGTAATTCATTGTATCTCACCGAATTTTCTCAATAGACTTCGTATTCGTCTACTGCACGCAGCTGAGGAGATAGGCATTCGAGCTATTAAGCCTAAAGTATGCATTCAAAAGCATTTTGTACAGCCATTATGCCTTCCTTGTTGGCCTATCAAGACATAACCAACTGATGACTTCTCTACCACCCCTTACTTATATTTTCAACCCCTCTCGTATCACCCTTATCTTATCACATCTTTATTAAAGACGTGTTTCATTTACTTCCCTTACAATCTAGCACTACGTAATCGGTTCATTAGCTTTTCTTAGCCTTTATCGACTACTTCTACCTGAACATTTGTTTGTTTAATCATGCTGTTTTTCGTTATTCTTGTTATCACAGATCGCCTCACATTTTCATCCTTGTTATTGATAGAACCATTATTATTATTATTATAATGACGAATTGCACAATTTATATTCACCATCTTGTTATCCTGTTGACAAAACACCATGATTGGTTTATATATGAATATTTACTTTTAAGGTTATGTATATTAGAGTTAAGCCTGATGAGATCTAATTGAAAGCACAATATTGTTCGCTTAAATGTGTTGTTCTAAATTCTATTTTTGTTTCTAGATTTCCATTGTCTAGCTATACTCAACTCCTTCAATTATATTACATCATCAAACCTAGTTACTTACTTAATCTTGGAGTATTTGGTAGGTTATAACATGATTGTTACTGTTATTTTTCCTTTGCGTCCCCAGTAGAACATAAGGTTTCATGGTCTACCAGAAGCAGTGGTGCAGTTGCTAGTCCCATGCCCAACGTCCCCTCTTTTAACGAGCTGATCACCGCCTAAGCAAGGTTTATGAGTGCATCGGTCGTGGATCGAACCTCGAATCACGTGGATGGTTGGCGAGTGTACTACCACCGAGTCAATTACTTAAAGCCTTGCATTTCCTTTGTAATGTTACCAAGATATATACTGCAGTCTGAGATGCAGTATTAAGTCCCGCATATCTACTGGACGGCGTTGTCCACTTAGATATTTATAGCTGACTGGAACATATAACTTCACTTATGTGCTTATTAACATAATAAATAAAAAGACAAAAGTAATTCCATATTAGTTTGTTTATTAGATGTATCACACAGTGAAACAGTATTATTTACTGGATGACGTTTCGAACAAAAGGAAATGTAAAAATAAAATAAATAATGATAGTAGCGATAGTGATAATAATAATAATGACAACACCAACAGTAAGGAATCTAAATCATCAGTAGTAATTCTATACAAGGAAGGAACCTCGGAAACCTTATGCAGAATTCTTAACAAGGCAGGAATAAAAGTGGCTGGCATTCAAACCACCTACAAACTCAATTAGAAACAAGCTTTGTCGGTTAAAGGATCCTGTCTGTAGAGCCTTTAAAACAAAACAATTTAGTTTATCTAACACCCTGCTGCAATGATTGTCAGGTCAAATATATAGGTCAAAGTAGTAGAACAGGGGCAGTCAGACTAGCTGAGCATAAAAACCTAGCAGCGAAATCTAGATTAGTTGACCCGAATAAGATAAGAAATCTAGAGAATAGTTCAGCTATAGCACTCACTGCATGCAATTACACACAACCATACAATAGGATGAGATAAGATGACAGTTTTAAAATCTAATATAACAACAGGGTGGAGGGAGAGATTGATAATAGAAGCTTTGTTTATCGAATCAACTGCGAACCAACACGTGTAATAGGAATGATTCAACACCTGTCCCCGATATCTGGAAAATTCTACTACCCCTACGACGACAAATAGGAGAGAACAAAGAAAACTATAAAACTCAAGTTTCGAAGTCGTGTGATTATAATTGATGAGATGATTATGAACAATAATTTGTGTTCGAAACTGTGTCATCCAGTAAATAATCCTGTTTCCCTGTGTGATACATCTAATAAACAAACTAATATCGAATTACTTACTACCACAGTGCCCAAGTTTTAAACATATATTAAAAAGACAAAAGAATTTCAAATTGGCGCTAAAAAATTTATTAATCTTGAAATACTCTATGTGTATATATAAAAAGAAATGCATACATACATAATGTGTTAGGAAAAAAGAATAATTATCCAAACATTATTGACCCATAGATCCTCCAGTACGTTCAAGTATCTCTTCCATTGTTAATGATTGACCAGGAGGTATACCATAACTCTTGTGTATACCATTCGAATTTGATGGTGTAACACAATCATCTTTAGCCTCTTTACGTATACATGTATCCACTTCTACTGAGCTGAAAAATGCCACTGACTAAACAAAAAGTGTAAAGGTATAAATGGATACATTAAACGAATTGAAACACCTGTAAACTAAAATATCTAAGTGAATCGTTTAAAAGTTAATAAAATACATTCATTATATATATAGTTGTGAAGCTTTCATTGTCCTACTGGAACTACATTTGTGGTGAGAGCTGTCTGCTAGCCAAAATTGCTACACAGCAATTTACGTCAATGTTTACGTCCCAAATCTTGGTCATGAGAAAAAAACCAAGATCAAAGACTAACTCAACAACCGATCACAACAGACTTTGTGTGGGCGGATACGATTAGCAGATAAATGATTTGACCTTCAAAGAAACGGCCAAAAAGAGATGACAGAATAACGTTCAGCGAGAAAACAACCAATCAGAAGACGCTGTTTCTCTGCTAATAATAACGAATAATTAATGTACATAAAAATCCATAAATATATCTAGATTTCCTCAATAAACGATCTGTCACCCGGCCCTTGTTTTCTGTCGTTACACGTTCTCATGGTATACTTCAAATTGAAGAATGAAAGCTTCTCAACTAAAACATTCAGCTCGGAGAACATAACTACACAAAAATTAATTATGCAAAATAAAAGACTGCGATTTCAGTAGTTAGCAGTGTAAAACGACAAAGGAGATTAATTAATTTTTTTTCACTATATAACTTTATCAACCCATGCGCCTATAGTAGTCTTCTTTTTTAGCTGGCTTCACGTCTATCCATTTGCTCCTCACACGACATCCTCCTCCATGCCACTCAACCCGTCGTTAACGACAGTCATGTTCCAATCGGCGACCCGGCGGGTGATATTACTCAAAGGTCGCTTCAGAAGATGTCCACTCCATCTGCTTCTGCATATTTGTTTGGCAACAGGTTCTTGGTTGGTCCGTTGTTAATCTTTTATGGCCATTCAATCTGCAAATCGACCGAAGGTAGATTTCTGGATATTGCTCCTTATGTTAGATGAAGTAGAATTGCGGGTTGATTTACGATTATTGAAGATCTGTCTTGGTTTTTCGACCTTGCAGACAGAATATAGTCAAATGGAAATGTGGCGCTAAAGACCTGTGGTCAATTAAGAATCTGCAGGAATAATAATTATATTAATGCTTATGTCAATTCACCTCTTTTGTTACTATCTTCTTAGAATCTCTTGATATTCAATTGATGTCCAAATTAAATGTCTTGAATACAACACACACTTATTCAAGACATACAATAAACCAAGTGACATAATAGCCAACAAGTTGAGAAAATCGATTCAAAGAACGTTTACTGACGGTAAGCTGCAACTTATATTTTACACAACCGGTTGTGATTTTGAAACTGTGAGAGACGAAGTAGCAAGGCTAGCCACCTGTAATTTTATCTGTCAATTCAGCTACTCCTGTCGAGTCAGTTATATTGGCCGTTCCTTTGGGTACCTAATTTCTCGTGGTCGAGAATACCTACCAGTGTGGTTAAACAAAGGTGTTGTTAAAACCATCAATGGTCCCATATTAGGTCAGCTCGTTCAAACAAACCACAAAGCTAGCTAGCACTGATGAGTCTTTCTCTATTATCTATCGGGTATCGAACAGAAGAGGCCATTCCAATTCACTTAAATGATTCTTCTCAGCTCTGTGTGCATGAGAAACAGGTCCAGACAGCAACTGTTGCTTTCCTGGCCTTTTGTCAAGCCTATAAATTCGTAAATTGTGTGTGTTACTCCCCTTAATTTATCTGATGTTCGGTGAGTTTAGTTTGATATTAATGCACATTATCTCTCTCTCTCTCTCTTATTGACGCTTTTGAAATGTAATCTGATGATATTACTGATTCAATGTAACTTAAAACAGCATTAAATTTGTTAATAAGAATATTTCTCTAGTTATCATGGTTATAAAAATGTAAAACCTGATGACGAATTACTGTCTGTCTATCTGTTTCCAACATAGAACTTTGCAACGATGTGCAGCAGTTCAAGTCGCCACACTCCATGTAGCACACAAAGCAAGAGAAGAAATGCATAATAGAGACAGTAAGTTGAGGTGTGAGACAAAGGAGTAGTAATAAAGAAGAACAATATAGTTTCACTGGGTATTATAAATCACAAGGAGTGGATACATCTGCGCTACTGAGAACGATTTTGAGCCATGTCACCAATTGTTTCCAGCCACCATTGGTTTTTACCGTCCCGAGGACCCCAACCAGGAAGTCTACACCTCCCTACGTGACTGGCTTAAACTAACTGTTATGGATTTGACTGACTGATGAAGCCATGTTTTGGTTTGACCGCCGCTAGCTCTTTTCCAGCCTGACCCTATGTCAGCTAACATTGCTCGTCAAGGAAGTCGATGACTAGGCATACGTAACACATGTCCTAACCATCTCACAGCCAGGTCGATTGATTTTCCCTTTTTACCTAGCACTGTACGCCTAACCTCAGTATTGCTTACCCTACTATACCACCTCACACGGGAGATAGAACGCAGACAGGCACCTATGATCAAAGACAGCTAGCCGGCCTTTTCATGTCCTCCACTCTCAATGGCCAGGTCTCACAGCCATAAAGGAGAACGGAGCGGAATGCTACTGAGCAGTACACATGCCATTTAGTCGATAGCTCTGGATGATGACGAATTTAACAGTGAGGAATATTCTTTGCTGATTAATCAATGTTTCAAGTTTTTTATGCATATCTTCTACTTCACTAATATAATCTTTACTCAGAAATTTACATCTAAACTAAATTAAATAAATTAGGAATAATTAATGAATTGAAGTTGTATGAATGATTGGTAAAATAGGCTAAAAAAAGTAATCAAACAATGGAAGAATTCGATATAAGTATAAAACTTGGGCACTGTGGTGGTAGAGTATAACTCCATAATGGATAAGATTTTATTCGGATAAATCACACAGTGTTGTGCAGTAATATTAACTGATGACCACGTTTCGAGCACAAACTATTCCTGCTCATAATCACATCAAGTCACACACACAACTTTCTTACTTCATTTATATACATGTGTGGAATCGATTAGATATTGGAATAAAAATTATATATAGGATAATGTACATTCAGAATTTTTATTGGACACTAGTAACTAGTGTGACGTGTCTAGTCCTTTCTCTGGTGCAGACGGAATTCTATCAGTCAGTCAGGTTTTGCAATGTGGCCACCATTCTAGGTAGCCCACCATCACGGTGCACATTGATTTGATGATATTAGATAGTTGGAGGCAATCGGCCACAGAAAGTCTTGCCTGACCTAGGTTTCGTGCTAGTTGGCACTCACCAGTCAGCAAGGCGTATCTGCAACCTTGAAGGAACTCATTTCCCTTCTGAGATTCGAACCCTCGTCAACCATCTAATATCATCAAATCAATGTGCACCGTGATGGCGAGCTACCTAGAATGGTGGCCACATTGCAAAACCTGACTGATAGAATTCAGTCTGCACCAAAGAAAGGACTAGACACACATCACACTATTTACTAGTGTCCAATGAAAATACCCATTACAGTTCTAGAGGAGGTCAATCACGACCCAGCAAATGGTAACGTCTCTGACTGCAGGCGGCAATGGGCACTAGGGAAGGCTTCCTGTGGCCGATTGCCTCCAACTATCTAACATTCAGAATTATTAATATGATTGTTATTGATCAATTGCAATCAGATGGGAAATAAGACGAGTGTTTTTTATAGTCATAATAAGTTATAAGAATTCGATTCTTACTATATATACATATTATAGTTATTTTTACAACCTAACAGAAGTTTACATAAAAATAACATAGATTAAATTGGGAAAGCTTACTTCTGGTAGATCACGCATACCAACTTGATAGACGAAAAATGTTCTTGTTAATAAATTACTAATCTGTAAACAAATTTTGCAAAGAAAAAAATATTTCACACGAGTTTAAACAAAATAACAAACAAAAGCAAACAATTAAACTACTGGTGGCAATATTTTGTTTTAAAAAATTTAAAAAAAATCGGCAGTCTGTTTCAAGCTTGGGCTATCTAAATACTCCATTATTATATATTTGCATATAATTCCTCTTGTTCAGTTTGCTTTAATCTATTAAAATATGGCCTCTAATGGTGTTTTCTACTCTCACGAGTATTTAAGACGTCTGCAACCTGCCAAGTATCTACTGGACAGGAGAGAAAGCGAAATCGTGGTTGGGGACGTACCTCAATACATGAGATAACTGTTCCTGAGATTTTTAGTTCAAACACTGCCATTGCCTGAGAAATAAAACTAATTGCCTATTGTGTTCAATTATTCAACTATTATTATTATTATGTCCTTGTGTCAAAAAATGTACTTCTACACCTTTTTTTTATTTAAAAAAATGGTTTTCAACCAAATGTTGTGGATTTCTCGAAAGAGGAAGGCAGGGAAGAAATATCACATGAGGGATTGGTTTTCACTTCAGGTGAGACAACAGTGTGTCAAGTGATTTACTCCCAGTAATCACATGGTAGATGTACCTTGGATGTTGCGGTTGTCCTATATCATAATGTTGTTTCTTGTTTAGAAAAAGGTGTCAAATATGTCCGTGGTGCTTTCCTAGACTACACATCTGCTTTTGACTCTATACCTAGGGGCCTTTTATTAAATAAGCTTTCGTTGACGCAAACAGCATCCTGGGCTAAGAGTTGGTTGCATTCTTATTTTTCTGATAGAATGTAGTATACTGCATATAATGGCAAATCTTATTCTGCTTTGCTTACAAAAGTCAGTGTTCCTCAAGGTGCCGCCCTCTCTCCTTTTCTTTTTTCTTTCTTCTTACACGACCTACCTCATTTAAACGAAACTAAAACTTTGTCAAATATGCGGATGATCTGACTACATCGCTGCCTATCACACTTCCGAGTCTGACTGCTCCAAACTAAATAGCTTTCTGTTGGACATCAGCAAGTGGTCTAAGTCAAATGGTCTTATGTTAAATCCTTCCAAATGTCAGGCAGTTAACTTTACTTTCAAGCATCGATGTGACATACATGAACTAGTTAGTTCCCATGATGCCTGTAGCATAGATGGCACTGAAATTGAATCCAAGTCAATCATTAAATACCTCGGATTAGTTCTTTCCTCTGACCTTTCATAGTCATCCCAAATCTTATCAATCTCTAAGAAATTCTTTCGTCTTACCTTCTACATTAAAAAGTTAAGGTAATCAGGTATCAGCCAACCTTTACTTCTGCAGTTTGTAAACTCGTGTATTTTACCTATTGTACTCTATTGCTCTCCATCTTTCCTGGGCTTCTCAAAAAAGACTTTATCATATTACGAAGGGTATTAAATGCTGTGAGTATTGCGTGAGCTCGCCGATACTATAGTCGAGAGACACGTAAATTCCTGTACAAAATGGGCAAAGGCCGTACTGTCAGACCCTCTGCACCCCCTTTATTCACAACTATCCCCTTGCATCTCATCAGGTAGGACGAGAAGTCAATATAAGAAGTTGTATGCTCGCACCACTAAGTAAAAAGATTCTACAATACCCTATTTAGTCCGTATTTTATGTGATGGAGACTCTGTTAGACGTGAAACATATAAGTTACTATGTAATTAGCAAAGTGAATCGACCCTTTCATCGTTCATCTTTCTGTAATTTTATGGTGTCACCCTTTCTATCGTTTATCTATAACTTAGCTATTTTATTTTATTTGTTAGTACTATTATTACTATAATTTTATACTTTATGCATATTTTTCTCCGTATTGCATACAGTAATTTGCTAAATAGCTGCTATAACGACGTTTTGTTATTATCATTATGTAATGTTTATTTTTTGTCGTTTTTGAGTAAATCAGATGCAATATTGTACTGAATGCCGAAAATTCCTTGCTGTATTATTAATACTGTTTTTGGAATAAAGCAAAAAAAATTATTATTATTATTATATTACTCGATGGTCGTGGACAAACAGAAACAACTACTATGCGATAATTTCTGTTGAAAATTTTGTACATTATCATATGAACACTGTTCAAAATAAAGCTATTATTATTATTATTATTATTAAAACCGGTAATTTTGTGACAACTAACTAACATGACTTCGTTGCCCTACTGCGTGTCGAGTGGAACATAGGACTTTCTTGACGTTCTAGTGGTGCTGTTGCAGATTTTACGGGATCGGTTTGCAAGCCTTACACACCCAAACGTAATCTCTTTTCCAGGCTTACCTACCGGCTAGGTGAGGTCTAGAAGTTCGTCATCGGGGGATATAGAATCCAGATCTCTCACACGGTTGTTAAGCATCCGGTTACTAAGCCAGCAGTTATATGGTACTTATCACCAAGACACTCCGAATGAAGCAAATAATTTTAGTCGAGGTAGACACAACGGCCTACACAAATCATTGGGTTACTTAATATGTGTGTAAAACTTGGGCACTGTGGCAGTAAGTAATTCCATATTAGTTTGTTTATTAGATGAATCACACAGTCAGCGAAACAGTATTAATATTTACTGGATGACGAGGTTACGAACAAAATTTATTGTTCATAATCATATCAATTATAATCACACAACTTCGAAACTTGAGTTTTATAGTTTTCTTTGTCTTCTCCTATTTGTCGTAGGCACTTATGAATTGGAAAGTCAGGAAGGGGAGCTTCCAATGTTAGATTGCAACGTAAAAAGAAAAGGAGATAGGACGTTAAACACTAGTTATTACAGGAAACCCACACACTCAAACGGATATTTGGACTTCCGATCATCTCACCCTATGTCAGCAGAAATGAGATTGGTGAAATTTTTAAATAATAGAGCACAAAAGCTAAGTAGTACCAAGGAAATTCTAAGACAGGAAGTGAGACATATAAGAGAAGCTTTGAAAATTAATTATTACCCTGATAAATTAGTCAGAAAGTTTGTAGGGAAATGTAAAACTAAAATAAATAATGATAGTAGTGATAGTGATAATAATAATAGTAATATTAATGATGACATGCATATCAGACATGCGCAAGATAATGACAACAACAATAAGAAATCTAAATCATCAGTAGTAATTCCATACAAGGAAGGAACCTAGGAAACCTTATGCAGAATTCTTAAAAAGGCAGGAATAAAAGTGGTTGGCATTCAAATCCTCCCCCGACAAACTCAATTAGAAACAAGCTTTGTCCGTTAAAGGATCAATCCTGTGGAGCCTTTAAAACAAAAGAATTTAGTTTATCTAACACCCTGCTGCAATGATTGTCAGGTCAAATATATAGGTCAAAGTAGAAGAACAGGGGCAGTCAGACTAGCTGAGCATAAAAACCTAGCAGCGAAATCTAGATTAGTTGGCCCGAATAAGTTAAGAAATCTAGAGAATAGTTCAGCTATAGCATTCACTGCATGCAATTAGACACAACCATACAATAGGATGAGATAAGATGACAGTTTTAAAATCTAATATAACAACAGGGTGGAGGGAGAGATTGATAATAGAAGCTTTGTTTATCGAATCAACTGCAAATATATGTAATAGGAATGATCCCACACCTGTCCCAGATATCTGGAAAATTCTACTACTCCCACGACAACAATTAGGAGAGAACAAAGAAAACTATAAAACTCAAGTTACGAAGTCGTGTGATTATAATTATTGAAAATGTGTCATCCAGGAAATAATACTGTTTCACTATGTGATACATCTAATAAACAAACTAATATGGAACTGGGTTACTTAGATTTTCTATTCACCCAAGTGCATTGTTTTAACTCCTTTTCAAATTGTTTTAATCTTCTAATTACCGCATGAGTTGCAATCTATACTCGCGCACAATTTCAAACAACTTCCTACCTACCTCAAGGAGATATCGAGGGAGAACATTGTGGACTAGCATTGAAGCATATACTTCGAATGGAACAATATTCCTTCAGATGACATATTATCAATTATTATATTATTTAAAGATTCTATACAAGGGGTAACTACCTTGCAATGGAACTCACTGTAAGCCCTGTATTATGTAGAAACGCATTTTTTCAGAATAAAGCCATTATTATTATTAGACGATACTTTCGCACACCTAAGGTGCGTCGGTGGCACAGCGGTAGAATGCTTGCCGACCACGCCACATGTGGTCCGAGGTTCGATTCCCGGCCACCGACGCACTCCTTTACCTCGCTAAGCCAGTAATAAGACTGGTAAATAGGGAAGGTTGGGCATGAGGCTAGCTAGCAACCCCATCCCGCAAAAATAAAACACCGCTGCTACCGAAACTTCAAGCCTCTAGCTTGAAGCCACCCCATGTTCCACTGGGGACGTAAAGGAATAAAAACAGTCGTACTTTGTTCAAGTCTCTGTCAGATTATTTTCTCTTAAAAATGTTCTATTAATTTAATAGGAAGAAGAATGCAATCTCTTGATACTGAAAAACAAACAAACAATAAACTCACTTGTAGTGCAAGTGCAACTTGATCAACATACTCCTTTGGACAAAGATATCTTATTTCATCGTGTATACTAATGCATAAACGTGCAGGAATCTTGTACTTGTTAATAAGCCAACGCATAAAAACAAGCATACAGTGTAGATAATCAACAGCAGAACTTTGTACAACCCAATTTACCCGGCTAGGTAAAAACTTGTAATAATAATAAAGAAGAAATTCATGATATAAGTAATAAATAAGTACAAAGATTATTTGAAAAAACAAAGTAATATCAAGTGGTTCTGTTCTAATAAATGCACCCGTTCCCTTGCGGGTCAGGGCATAATTGCATGTATTAGCTCTAGAATTACTACAGTTATCCATGTAGCATATATGATCTAAGGAACCATAGCTGATTTAATGAGCCATTCGTGGTTTCACCGTTTTAAGGTATGTACTTAGACATGCATGGCTTAATCTCTGAGACAAGCATATGACTACTGGCAGGATCAACCAGTTTATTCACACGGTGATACACCCATTGACTGGGTATTAGTTTTCAGGAGAACCAAACACACCCATCCCTGCCTCTTGCGAGACGAGACCGGCATGCAGGATCATCCTGTGGCGCAACCACTCGAGAGCCCTCTCCCTCGGTAGACCATTCGAACCGTTAGTATATTAATGATAGGGAAACATTGTTACGCCGATCGTTGATCGCGTCAATCAATTATGCACTGCATAGATAAGCCCAATAGAACTCATCTCACACACAAGAGTAGCCAAACGTATTATTATATGCAAAAGTAGCACGCATAGCATCGCTATAGTGACAATAGGCCCCTATAAAAGAAGCCAGCAGCCACCAAATTCAATGAAATCGTTATCCCTGCCGACCAATTTAGCATGCAAATAGCTTCTATACGTCTGCCAAGACTATAGAAAACCATACACAGTCATATAAGCGAGCAATGAGAACTGGCCAACTCATGCTCATATCGTCTATATAGCTTATGCTGGAATTGATCAGTAACAGGTTTCATCACGAGCTGATATCAGTTAGAGAACTACTGGGACACCTGGGAATGATAGACACTGGTTTCGTCCTAATTTAGGACTCTTCAGTGACGCGCATCCACCGAGGTTCAAACCCAGGATTCAGACCTGATGGTCCATGAACTTCAACTTTTGACAATTCACGGTATATGTAGCACGACCGCCAGCCATTTTCATAGGCGAGTAAACTCTTCTCTTACCTGACTTATGACCGGAAGATCCTGAGTTCGAACCCCAGTGGGTGCGCACTGGCTGAAGAGTCTTGAGCACTGGAATGAAACAGCTGTCCAGTACTCCAAGGTTTTATAATGATTCACTACTAACTGATGTCAATTAAGAGATGAAACCTGAGACAAAATAATAGACCGTTCTTTTGGGGAAAGAATATTGTATTACACTTGCATATAGTAGTCTGCCTAATACTTGATTTTGTTATGTTCATCAATGTGACTGACAGTTTTTTTTTCAATTGATTCTACCAACTTGGATTTGTTCAACTTCATTTAACTTACAGGCTCCTTATTCCATGAACTTTAGCACAAGAGATGAGGAGATTTTCCAGTATGTGTTTATGAATGACATGACATGTACAAAAAACATCTTATTCAAACTATCCCAATATCAGCGAGTTACTTGAACTAACTGAAGATAGACAACACATGTATTTGTTAAGTGAGTATCAGATGCCTGACTGATCACATTCTCAAGTGATATTTTCCGACTCCTCCGTTTGTTATCCAGCTTCGACCAGTCGTACTCCATAAACAACGTAGTACGACCGAAGGTGGGTAGACTTCGGTCTTCCTCCCAAAATGCAGCCACCTGGCCACGTGTTTATAGCCTCTGCTAGGTTAGTTCTTTTTAACTAACTTTGTAATTATTACCCACTTTTCTCTCCTACACTGTATATCATCATTGCTGTGACATTTGCATATCATATGTTGACTTGGCTCTTAATATTTGTTACTCTTCCGGTTTCATCTCTAATATTAATGCTTCTAGTTGCGGTTGTGCGATGACATCAATAATGTGTTATTTTACGATGTAATTTTGTTTGAGTGGATGAAGGTGATTCTGACCTTGGTGTGTGATTCTTGTTAACAGAGATTTTGATCCCACCATGTTGGGAATGTTCTACTTGATTCTGAGGTACTTCTTATTGTTGAATTTTGGTCAGCTAATTTTGCTCTACGGTACTTGTTTTGTGCGTAGGAAGTTATATATTATTATTGTTCCCTTGGGTTCCTAGTGGAACATAGAGCTTCAACTGCACGTCTCCACTTGCTTATGTCTTTTGCTGTACTTTTCACTTGCATCCATGTTAGTCCATACTGTTTCAGCTCTTCTTCACACGATCTCCTCCATGTCACCCTTGGACGTCCCACTCGCCGCTTCCCTTTCCACTCGAGCGTTGGCCTGATGGCTGCCTCAGCGAGTGTCCAATCCATCTCCACTTTCTCCTGCATATTGTGGTTGGGTGATTGGTTCTTGTTTGTTCCCATAGTTTCCTGTTGGTGATTCTTTCCGCCATCTCATCTTCAGTATAGAACGAAGACAGTTGGTGATAACGGTCTGCAACAGGCTGTTGGAAATATTCCTTGTGACTCGCCAAGTTTCTGATCCATCCGTATAGAAGAACTGACTTGACGTTTGTATTGAAAATCCGAATTTTGTTGTTGAGTGTTGCTGAGTGACGAAGATTTCCAGATTGGTTTCAGGTTGATGAATGTGTTTCTTGCCTTCCCGATAATCGATTTGACATCCTCGTCCGTTCTTCCTGTAGTTGAGACAATGCTCCCTAGATAAGTGAATGAAGTAACCTCTTTCAAATCCCTCCCGTTGATGGTGATTGGCGCTGGATGTTGTCGTTGTTGTTGGTTGGTTATTTTCATAACCTCCGTCTTGTCTATGTTCACCTGGAGTCCTGTCTTTGCTGCCAGCCTCTTCGACCAGTTTGTCGGTTTTCGCTTGTAAGTCATCGATTTTGTGTGACATCAAACATAAATCATCCACGCGCGAAATCCAGGTCTTCTAGGTTCTTCACGTCGGTTCAGGATATCCCTGTCTTCTCGTTTCCCTGACTGTCTGACGCATAATCCAGTCCACCACAATTAGGAATATCATTGGTGATAATAAGCACCCTTGTCTGACTCCTGTGTTTACTCCAAACGCCTCGCTGAGTTTTCCGTTGTGGATCATTTGACATGTGCCGTTGTCGTACAGCTGTTGAATAGGGTTGATGAATATTTGGGGTACGCCGTAGTACTCGACTAGTTTCCAAATTACTTCGCGGTCAACGCTGTCGAAGGCCTTCTGTATAGCTGCGTAAGCGCACTGGTGAGGTAATTTTGAATTTTTGATGTTAGTATTGTTGAATAGAACCACATAGATCTGTTGACGAATAATCGTCTTTTTTCTGCTTATGGGGCGTACTTTGACTGTGCATCTCTGAAGGAAGTTTCCAACGTCTGTACAGTAAGACGTGAAGACCAGTTCCCTGCATTCAGACTGCAACGAGTTGGTTCGAAACCTATGGCGTACACGGGCTCTAGAATTTGAACGAATTGAATGGTGTCTGACGCCATTTGGGGAGCCGGCAACCACTGAAACGCAGTTCCACTGCTTCCGGAGTGGTGCGTTTCGGGTAGTATCCCAGCGCTCGCATAAATTATATAATTTTGTGTGGCGTATCTCTTAGCGCCCATAATATGCCAAGTATATGACTTTACAATGACAATAAATAAACTGACAGTAGCCTACTCCAAGCAATCAAACATGTGAAATAAACAATTATATAGTACGATTATCTGTGCTAATCGTAGGAATTCTCCAGCTAAATAAAACTGTATTGTTTGTCTAGAATTTCCAAACACAGTTTCAAAGAAAAACAACAACAATGGGACATTCATACATTTAACCATTGCTCAAATGTGATATGCAGACAGATAAACAATGGATTATCCTACATTGGTGTTATGGTGACCAAGGTCAGTCTGGAAATAGACCAATCACAACCAGCCTACGTAAAAATAACACCCACTATTTTATTGGTCACACATTATTTGTGTGTAATATTTACTGTTGCCGATACTGAAGTATACTTCTCGGCTGACGTCGTTGTGTGTTCTCACCTAAGTAGAAAGGGCTGGGGGGAGGGGAGGGAGAACAGGTAGCCATAGTAAAATGTCGTCTGTGTGTCTAACTCGGCGTCCCTATTTCAATCTCAATGTTCTTACGAATATATAATATATTGGCGGTATCATAACAAGGTGCTACACTGAATATCATGATAAAAGCATTTTGAGGTTTTGTTGAAAATGTTTGCGAGTAGTATAATACTCTTAGTATTGGATATGATATACAATTTCAGTCACCAAATCGAACAGACTTCACCTACTGCCGTAATATCGGTACAGCCTATAGTGAATTCATAGTTTTAGCCAATAAAATGATCTAACGAGTATACTAAACAAAATGAAATGATCATAATAATAATAACAAAAACAACACAATATTCGCTTACATCATCTTTGACAAGTTTTGGATTCAATGCACGTGTAAGTTGAGCATTTAAAAATGGTGTACTTGGTTCAGAACTACGAGCAATTGACTCCAACTGGTTGAATACAGCCGACTCACTGCCTCCACGCCAAACAGACGATGAATTACCATTTGTAGGCGAATCTACCATGGTACGTTGTCCTTTAGTAATTCGAAACAATTGTTTCGCCTTTAGACTTGCCTGTTCCGGCTGAGAAATAACAATAAAGGCATATTATTACAACCCTAGTATTTTATAATTTACTAGATGAAAATAAAAGAGTGACCTGACTACATTAAGAGGGGGGGGGGGGTAATTTCTCTCCCATCTATCCTTTGTTACTCTGAGGGGATTTTATTATGATTATTCCCTTCGGTTTCGAGTGGAAAAAAGGTCTTTGACAGAACATCCGCACTTTGTCCTGTTATCTGCAGTCCTCTTCAGCTGGGTCCACGATTGATCATAGGCTCTCATCTCCTCCTCAAAGAATCTCTTCCATATCACACTCGGATACACGACCAACTCATTGTTTCGCCGCAACGTCACCCAATGGTCTCCTCAGTGTGTGTCTTATACATCTTCATTTTCTCCCATATATTCGCTGGGCAATAGGTTCTTGATTCGTTCAGTATCGAACAAAGGAAGCTGTTGATAAAAGCCTGCAGTAGCCTGTAAGAAATGCTTTCCGTGACGCGTTCGCCAAGTTTCTCATCCACACAGAAGAACTGACTGACTTGACATTGGTGTTCCTCCTTTATACTGATAAAGGTCTGTCGTGTCTTTTCGATTCTGGTTTTGACATCTTCATCCGTGTTGAAACGATGCTGTTCGAGGTGATAACTACTCATAAAATTAAGTTATGTGATTACCTATCTTTGTAATTCTTATCTGGTTATAATTTACCAAGAGCAGTGTTAACGATCATCCTTCTTAATCTTGACCACCTTATTATTTTGCTTGTTTTAATTGACCTTTCAATCTGATATAAGCTAACTTGACATGTAAAGGTGTGGTAAAACTGTTTGAAATTATAAGAACGGATGACCTATCATAGTTAGCCATGAAGTCATAACTGATGAAGCATGCACTGACATGATAACCTGACTAGATAGTTTTCGATTGGTTTCCGAGGACTTTCAAGCACACGCAACCAATCAGACATTCATTGTTTATAGATTCATATTCCGAGGTTTTGTGAACTGTATGATAAAACGTTGTTGCGGCTATCTCTTTGTGTGGGAGAACAGTTTCAAATGATCGGTTGTTTTATAGTGCCATGCTGTCTGGAGGCGCATTCTAGTCAAGTTTGACGACAACCCCGAATCAATAACCTTCCATTATAACAGCAATACATTGCACAAATACATCATGTTTTGAGGATAAACTCTATCTGCTAACAATGTTATGCAAATAAAGAAAAAAACATTACTGATCACTAACAGTTCCAAACCTACTAAACATAACTTTAACCACAATTTGTGTATGAAGGCTAAATGATATGATAAAGGTAGAATTCCATGGATGAGAATAATAATCATAATAATAGCTTTCTTCCAAACAGTATTTGTGGTACAGGTATGGAACTTTCAGCGTGCATTACAATATTGCATCTAATTACCTCATAAATTTTATAAGATTTTAAAAATAAAAAGCAACAACAACAAAAAGAAAGTATGATATATAAAAAAATAAAAAAAGAATAGCATTGCATTCACATTTTAAACAATGCACCACAGGATATGAAATATAAAATTAGTGTGTAATAGAATTTGTGAGCAACAATATAATACTAACAAAGAAAGGAAAACAAAAACTAATGGAACTAATTGTTAGAGTGCCGCAGTAAGTTGATCGTGTCATACCTAACGGATTTCTCATCACATAACAGCTGTGCCAGATAAGGTATTGTGGAGTTTTTGTACTTGGTAGTCCTAGCATATAGCCTCCTATAGTTGCTTCTAGTTCTACCAGATGAAATGCAAGGAGAGAGCTGCGTATAGAGAGGGTGTTCGGGGTCTGACAATATAGAATTCGCTAGTTTCTTACATGACATTATATGTCTATCCACAATGGTGTTAACCAGTTGGTTTAACGAAATCCCACTTGTCCTACTAACAGCTTTTAGTGCCCTACGCAGCAAAGCAAAGTCTTTCTTAAGAAAAGGGGTTCTAACTGCAAAATAACTGGTTGATAGTTTAATGTGTGAAATATAGATGAACGACATAATAACAATTACAAAGCAGCCAAATCATTCAGCTTATTTTAACTAAGCACAAAATTCAGAACACTAGCTGCACCCAAGAAATATAATACACTCGAATGCACAAACATTGATATGAAAAGAAAAGAACTAAATCTGAATGTGTGACTTTACAAATGAAAGTCCAGCAACGTTAAAGTATCATTCTAACGACACAAGACAAGAACCAGACAACATATTGTTTTTTCTGATGCAGTTGTATTGTCTATTGACACATCGACAGAAACAAAATTTACCAATTGATAAGAAAGAAACCTCATACACAAAGGGTCAAAGTTCAAGTCAAAGAAACAATCAGTACCAATACAAGTAGCCGCCTAGAGGGTGTGAAAACATTCAAAAACAAACAATCACGTTCAAGGTCACCCACCAGGAGAGATAACTTGCAAACTCGTGGAGAAATATAAAAGCTCACTTCAATTCAAATAGAAGTATGCTTTGAAGATGTTGCCTAGTAGGGCAATGAAAGCTTCGCAAATAAACCATCCAGCTAAGAGAACACAACTACATCAAAATCATCCACCTGAGCTACAAATCTTCTCCACTATATGGGTGAGAAACTTGGTGAACGCGTCACAAAGAGTATTTCCAAAGAGCCACTGCAGACTTTTATCAACAACTGCCTTTTCTGACTCCATACTGAAGATCAGATGGCCGGCCAGGAAGAATCAACAACAAGGAACCCTGGGAAAGAACCAAACAAGAACCTATTGCTCAACAAATATCCCACAGAAAATGGAGACGAACAGGACACACGCTGAGGAGACCCAGTTGGGTGACATCGCGTACCAGACCATCGCTCGAGTGGAACGCAATTGGAGAACGACGAGTTGGGTGTAGGTCTGAGGGTGACATGGAGGAAATCATGTGAGAAAGGAGATGAAAGCCAATGGTCTACCAGGAAGACGACTACAGAAGGCAGGAGAAAATGTAGATATGTTCTACGTTCCACTCGGAACTCACGGGAATAATAATAACAGTGAGCTATCAAGAACATTGAAAGAAAATCAAGCACACCTAAAGGCTATATAAATAAAAAAAATAGATAGACAAACACAATCAACATTCATTATTGAAGATAAGGAAATAAATAGACGACAAAATATACATCATGATGAGGTGTATAGAATAAATGAAACAAAAATAAACAACTTACTGAAACATTGCAGAATTTTGCTAGCAAATGAGAAGCGAATTCAATCCCTGAACCATAAAGTCTCGAATAATTTAACACTTTTGATTCACTTCGTTTAATGCCCATTTCTTTAGCTATTTTAGTATGTAAATCAGTTCCATCCATTTTATTGCCTTGTAGTGTCATCCAACCATAAGGAGTTGAACCTGTAATAAATGTTTTTTTTTAAAAAAAAGGCGGTCACTATAATATTACTGAGGGTAAACAGACAAAAAAGATATGCTTGTTGGAACTAACTAACTAACTGAAAATGGTGATTTGAAACCATGAGGGAAGTCATGTTTTCCCTAGGATCCGAATCTTCGGTTGTCAGTGTCAAAGTTGCAAACTTTACGAGTAATCCGTTCAGATCACAGAGAAACATTTTAGAAAAATACGAATCTTACTCAACGAAAGTTACTGGAGCACAGTTATTGATTAATTTCAAGTTTGATCACACGATGATATCAGTTAGTGAACCATTGAAAACCAAGGAGTACTGGACAGACGTTTCGTCCTAGTCTGATACTCATCGGCAGTACGCACAGACCGCATTTCGAACATGGAACCTTCCGGTTACAAGGCGAACAAGCTCGTAGACCAATCAGTCACTGAGACTCGATTCAATGGCCAGTTCATGAATTCCAACTTCTGCCGATTCTTGATTTTAGCGCGACCGACCAGCAGTCTATGTCATCGGCGAGTGCTTGTCCTCATTCCCAACTGGGTGGATCCCACTGGTCATGACTTATCACTAGGACTCCAGGCAACTTCGTCCCGTAGCCAGTCACTAGAAAGCATCAGATTAATTTTCAAGAATTTATTTATTTATGCGCTCGTCTTGTAACCGGAAGATTCAGTGATCGAAACCGGGTGGGTGAGTACTGCCAATGACTCCCAAGCACTAGGACGAAACAGCTGTCCAGTACTACCTGGTGGTTTACAATGGTTCCCTAAATAGTGTCAATCCATGGTCAAACTTGAAAAAAATCAACTCTCTACAAATGAATTCTTGAAAATTTATCAATTTATTGATTGAGTTTCAACATAGAGGTTTACAGAGAATTGTGGTAGTTCAAGTGGTACCGCATTCCATATAGCGCACAAACATAAACAAAAGGCAGAAAGATGAAATTCTAAAAATCTAAAGTGAACAAAAATTTGCGGGAGAGGAGAATAATAACAGAAAAATATGACGACTTAATGGATCTCAGAGATTACAAAGATTGAATGCATCTGCTTCATTGAAAACGACTTTGAGCTATATCAACAACAGTCTCAAGCCATTGGTTCTTAGAATCCCAACCAAACAGTCTATACATCCCTAAGTGCCTTAAACCACCTATCAGTGACTTCATGGGCTGATGCCATGTTTTCGTTTGACCACCAACAGCAGCTCTTTTCCAACCTGATCCATCCTATATCAGCTAACATTGCCCGTCCAGGAAGACGATAGCTAGGAATGCATAGCACATATCCTAAACATCTCGATCGATGTAGCTTCACATCCTCATCGATAGATTTTCCCTCCTTACCTAGCATCCTACGGCTCCCCACACTATATTACTCACCACATTATGCCACTTAACACGGAAGACAGAATACAAAAATCTGTGGTTGAAAACAGATAGGTTTTTCATTTCCTCCATTTACGATAACCATTTCTGACAGTTGTAAAAAAGGAGAAAGCGAAATGGTGCGCAGTACACACATCCTTCAATCGGTAGTCAGATATTACATCTATGCGCCTTTTGTTTCTAAGCTGAGATTTTATCAGCAGTTTGTATATAATAGGGATGGAACCCAAGACCTTCAGGTTACGAGACCAGTTTCAACAACCATTCAGCCAATTGGGTTGGAATTCAATGACTCCTGAATTCTAGCTTTGTCGACTTGTGATATAGCACTGTCCTCATCAATGCCTTCCTGAAGCTGCAGTGGGAAGTCGTGATCAGTAGGGTCCACCATATCAAGAGGATGTTCATCGAAGGCATTGGTGAGGGCAGAGCTATATCACGAGTAGACAAAGTTAGAATTCACGGGTCATTCAGTCCCACCCCAAGTGGCTGAATTCTCAACGAGCTTGGTCTCGTAACCTGAAGGTTCCCGGACTCGATCCATAGCGAAGTCGTCGGTGAGCACCATTGAGAAGATATGCAGCGAGGAAGTGATCGAAGAAGAACTGCGTAATCTCCGAAAAACCCTGATGGAAAACGGTTTCCCGCCCAGGTTTATAGACAAGAATCTCAAACCGAAGAAAACTTCAGAACAAGTCCAATCCGTCCCAAAGAAAATACTTCTGCTTAATCTAGAATTCAAAGGTGATATCGAAGCAGAAATCCTTCGCAAACGCCTCTCCAAGTCGCTGAGGAAAACATACTTCGCCGCAAGCCTACGACTGACGTTTTCCTGCAAGAAACTGTTCAATCAGAACGCGAAAGACAAGCTGTCGCAGTGGGCCACCTCAACGTGCATATACCAGTTCACTTGCTCTTGTGGAGCTGAGTACATCGGCCGTACCATGCGCCAACTTGGAAAACGCGCTCGTGAACACGACCCAGCCTGGCTAGTAAAAGGAGAGCAAAAACGTGTAAACAGTTCAGTGACAGAACATCTGGTCAACTCAGGACATTCAGCGCCTTTCGAAAAGTCCTTCAAAGTAATATACAAGATTCAATCAAACCTATCAAAGGGAGTGAAATCAAGACATTTTGGCATAGCTGAGGCGTTAGCTATCCAAAAGCTCAAACCTACTCTTTGTATCCAAAAGAAATACGTCCAACCCCTGTCCCTGCCATGGCCATCGTAAACAGGTAAATTTTTTAATAACGACCATCCCATCGCCTTTCTTATCTAAACTTCCTGTTTATTCATGTTATTTTAAGTTTTCTTAATCCCTGTCTACACTACCATATTTTCATATCCACACTTCCTGTTTATTTTGTCATTTTATTATTTCTACATATTTAATCCCTGATTGCATAAACAATTATTCATCACATTAGTTTTTTATTCAAACATGCTGTCTATTTTGTTATTTCTACATTTCTAACCCACCATTGCATAATGTCAATCTTCTTAGTTATTATGCTACTTTGTTTGAGTTTTACCCATCCCCCTGTTTATTATAGCATTCTAATTCCTAATTGTAATTTTTTATTAATTTGACCCTTAACCGGAAATTATTCTGGAACTTTAACATCCATTTGATATAAATACACGAATGTACAGCCTAGATGATGACTTCGTCGAAAAATAAAAATTTTCTTCTCTGCAACTGTCTTTTTATTCCCATTGAGAATTCCCAAAATGGGACGGAGCATGTGTCCAGTACTTCGTGCTGGTTTTCAGGAATCTCTTTAACTTATATTGGCTCGTAGCGAAAATCTAACAGTTGAAATGAATGAACTATAATTAGTTAGGTAGACTCAAATATGATAGCATATATATATATATATATATATATATATATATATTAAATATTATCCAATTAACAGTGGATTTTAAAAACCCCATTATAAGGGGTACATTATAAAATGTCGGAAACTTTAGAAAGCTAACTATATTAAGACAATGATTAGGTCTGAGCAGTTAGGGACGTTATACTTAAAGAACGGCTACTACATTTCCTGTAGGATGTAATCAGAAAGATTGTGCGCGCATAATCGCAATGTGAAAATTACTCTGGAGCTGTAGACTATACTGTAGTAGACATTTTAATTTTAAAAAAGAATCCATCCTGCATGGCTGCAGAAAGGTAGTAGTGGGTCTATAAGCAGTTCAATGATCGAACATCTTGTCAACACTGGCCATTCCATTTCAACAAACACCTCTACCTTCAAAGTAATCTAAAAAGTCAAGAGAAACCTGTCAAATGTTATACACGTTCGTTTTACTTTGTACTTGAGGCTCTAGCCATTCGGATAGAGGAACACTTTTCGGCGTCCAATAATTGCCATATTTCTTGACTTGAAGGCAGCCTTCGACTCCGTGGATCGAAAGGTACTATGGCAATGTTTGACTGTGAAGGGAGTGCCAAGAAAGTACATTGCACTAATCAAGGCACTCTACTCAAACTCACGTAGCTGTGTAAAGGCTTATGGAGAATTGTCATCTGAATTGATAACAACCAGTAGTGTCCGTCAGGGATGTCCACCTTCCCCATTTCTGTTTAACTTCATCATAGATATGGTAATGGAAGTATCCTTAACTGAACTTAACGACTTGGGAATCGAATTGTTACCAAGGAATAGACTTATGGACTTAGAATATGCAGATGACATAGTCCTGTTAGGGGAGGATGCTGACAAAATGCAGAGTCTTCTGAACACCTTGAGCAGCAATCTTCGTATGTTTGGCATGCGATTCGCCCCTGTAAAATGTAAGATGCCGTTACAGGACTGGACTACGTCAACTCCTAGCTTAGTGATAGGGAGTGAAGTGATAGAACATGTTGACCACTTCACCTATTTGGGAAGTTGTATCAGCACCAACGGATTGATTGGTGACGAAATCTCAGCACGGATCCAAAAGGCTCGAGCTGCTTTCGCTAACTTACACCATCTCTGGCGTAGGCGTGACATCCGACTATCAACCAAGGGACGTGTGTGCTGCTCAGCAGTTCGCTCCGTCCTTCTCTATGGCTGTGAAACATGGCCAATGCGAGTTGAAGACATGAAAAGGTTGACTGTTTTTGATCATAGATGTTTACGATCTCTTTCTCACCTTAGGTGGTATAATAAGGTAAGTAATGTTGACGTTAGGCGTAGAGTGTTGGGCAAAGAGGGAAAATCAATCGACGAGGCTATAAAGTGACATAGATTGAGATGGCTAGGTCACGTGCTGCGCATGCCTAGCCATCCTCTCCCCCAACGGGCATTACTAGCTGATATAGGTGCAGGTTGGAAAAGAGTAAGTGGTGGCCAAACAAAAACATGGCATCATCAATCCATGAAATCCTTCTTTGACAGTTAAACTGAGTCAGGTAGGGAGGGAGATGCAGACTTCCGGGTTGGGACCCTCAGGACTCTAAGAATCAATGGCTGGAGACAATAGGTGACATGGCTCAAAATCCTCGTTGTCAATGGCTTACGCAGATGTATTCAGTCTCTGTAATCTTTCATATTCCTTTCTACCATTACTCATTCTGTTTCACTCTTATACTTTTCAAAACTCTACTGATTCTCTTCTCTCATTTTCCTGTCTACCTTTGTGTGCTATTTGGAACGTGGCAACTTGAACTGGTGCACTTTGGTGCCAAGTTCTATGTTGAATCCAGACAGAGACAGATAGGCAGATAGAGGAAATGGAGCTATGCATACAAAAGGAAGTTATGCAAACATTTCTACTATCATAGTAACAAACTTGTTGATTTCTACTGACTTGAGTTCCGCTTGCCTATTTGTTTGTTTTTCTATTTCCCTATACCTCTAGCATTTCTTTGGAATTCTTACATAATTCCATAGTTTCCTTCGTCTCTGTGTGCATCCTGATTACGACTCATTCATAAAATTACTCATCTTACACTTCTCCAGCTTCTCTCATGCATTGACTCTGTCTGTCTGGGTTCAACATAGAACTTGTCACCGAAGTGCAGCAGTTCGAATTGCTACGTTCCAAATAGCACAAAAAGGTAGACAAGAAGATGAGTGAAGAGAATCAACAGAGTTTTGACAAGTATAAGACTGAAACAGAATGAGTAATGATAGAAAGGAATATGAAAGATTACAGAGACTGAATACATCTGCGTAAGCCATTGACAACGATTTTGAGCCATGTCACCTATTGTCTCCGGCCATTGATTCTTAGAGTCCCGAGGGCGGGCCCCAACCCGGAAGTCTGCATCTCCCTACCTGACTCAGTTTAACTGTCAGGGATTTCATGGATTGATGCCATGTTTTTGTTTGGCCACCACTTACTCTTTTCCAACCTGCACCTATATCAGCTAGTAATGCCCGTCAGTCGGATGAGGCGATGGTTAGGCATGCGCAGCACGTGACCTAACCATCTCAATCTATGTCACTTTATAGCCTCGTCGATTGATTTTCCCTCTTTGCCCAACACTCTACGCCTAACGTCAACATTACTTACCTTATTATACCAGCATGCATTGACTAATATTAACAGTTATGTTTATGACAACTCATCACCTTTGTTACTACCCTCTTTCATGAAGAAAAAATTGTATAGGTAAAGGGGAATATGAATTCTCTGAGAAGAACCTCTCCGACGAGCTACATGTTTTGTTTTCATTAATATCTGGATGAGGATTACTCATGAATGTTTTGAAAAAAATATCGTGAAAGTCAAAATATAATGATAAAATTGCTCACCTTGAAAACCGACACTTGAATCGCCAATTAACGAAGCAATCCACATCTCTTGTGAATCTACATCAGCACCGACAAATACATAACCAGGAGGCGACTGAATCATCGCTTTGATTTCACTGCCTAACCGATTTTCATCAGCATTACTAGCTGTTAACCAGAGTGGTTCAACAGCTCTTCGAGATACAGTTCCAGAAGATATAACTTGAGGTAGAATAGCACCATATCGGCCTTCAGAATGATAGGATTGATCCCTACAAAAAATATACACAGAGTAAGGTGAGAAAATAAGGCTTTAAGACGATCATTTCAAAGACCATTGAAAACCACTACTGGAGTACTGGACAGCTGTTTCATCCTAGTTTGGGAATCATCGGCAGTACACATCCACTGGTATCAATCCGTGGTAAAACTCGTAGAAACAAATCTAATCCTTGCAAACCAAACTCTCAAAATTAGTCTGATGCTCGCTAGTGACCTGATACAGGACGGAGTTAGCTACCTGGAGTTCTAGTGAGAAGTCGTGACCGGTGAGGTCCATCCAGTCAAGTGTGAGGATGGAGTTCCCGCCGATGAAGTTGGTTGGTGGTCGCGCTAAATTACGAATTGGTAGAAGTTAAAATTCATGAGTTGGCCATTGAATAGAGTCCCAGTGGCTGAATGGTATACGAGGTTTTCTCGTAACCCGAAGGTTCTTGGTTCGGACCCCAGTGGGTGTGCTGTCGATGGTTCTCAAACTAGGATGAAACAGCTACCCAGTACTCCCTGGTTTTCAGTATGTGGTCAAACTCGTATAGATAGAATGTATACCAATTACTTATTTATGTAAAGCAAAAGTACATACCACAATAACCAATCATATTTTAGTAGGTCACATATTAGTCCATAGTAGGCAAACGTTGAAGTCTACTGTTTTTAGTATAAATGGTTTGGGATGTATAAGATTAATTCCCTAAAGTGTTTCTATCACCTTTAATAGCCTTCAATAAAAGTTATGTGAAATAATTGATAAGCAGTCATTAATAGCATTGATTTTGTCACCAGACATTAATATATTCAGATGAAGTGCACTTGTGACTTAATAACCACTTAGGAACATGTTCTTTCCGACGACAATGGAATATTCTATTGGTTCTACCACCTATATATATGTCATTGGAACTGTGAGTGAACTTGTAGATACGATGTGTGTAGTAGGGTCCACCAAATTTCTTCCTTTAATCGTGGATACAATGATTGAAAATGTTCGAGAAGGGATGCGGCATAGAATGTGCATTTGATAAATGACTGAAGCCTTTATGCTGTTAGCTGCATGGTTTGATCACCCTTGAATGATAGTTTAACAAAGATAGCTTTCTTTGCTACGGAAGCAGTCTTTTCACAAAGGGAAGTCTCTCTTTACTTATTGTGGTATGAAGTGAATTTTTCCGGATATCCATTAGCCAATAAAAATGAATGTAGGAGCCGTAGCTCATCCATTTATGTGGGCCCTTGAGAACAGGCAACCTGAACAGGGGACGCTTATACTGGATAGGAGCAAAACTACTGATATGAAGTTATTGTCTAGTTCATGTCTGCTTGCGAAATATGGACCGCTCCATTGTTCCGTCGTTGAAATACTCAATAAACCTAGCTTGTTACTCATTTCGAATTCTAAGGTCACTCGAATACTTGGATGATTATTGAATAGAGTAATGAGGGTTTCAATCGACTCGTTATTGTCACCAATTATAAGACTCTCATCCACACAACGTTTATACAGTGTAAGGTTTGTTAGCATACCTTCCATTTCTTTCTCAAATTTAGACATAAATACAGGGGTCCGAGAGGGCTCTCAATTACAACAGTATCAATTTATTTTTATGCTTCCTCTTGGGTATAAAATCTAATATTTCCTGTACATGTCACGATAATATCTCTAATGCAAGTGACAGGTATAGGTAATTGTGTGTCACTGCTTGTGATATAATCGCAAATGATGAAATCAACAGTCTTGTGAAGTGGGACATTGGTGAGCGAAAATTGCATGCCAATTGAGCAAATAATTGTTTTCGTTATGTTCATAGTGTCCAGTATGTTGACAAGATCAAATCAACTCTTTATGGAATGATGATTTGACAAGGAATCTCTTACGGGGGTAAGCACCTCCGTAGCACATTTCGCGACTTTATGACGATATGGAGAATTCGATATATCTTAGTGATTTGACAGGCTTGTGGATCTTCGGAAGGCCATACAATCGGTGGTATGCGATCCGAAAGGTTTAAGTTGTTTATAAAGTCTTTCATTTGTAAAACCATGCAAATCTGAAGCTGACAATTAGTTTGTTTATCCAAGAACAACACATTATCTGTCAGCAATTTAGACTGATCTTTGACGATTTCACCCATGGTTATATATATATATATATATATATATATATATAAGCATGCCCTGGATGAAAAACGTCGACTGGAACAGGCTGGATTCAGGAGAAACAAGTTATGCATTGATCACATCGCCATATTACGGATCATCACTGAACAAAACTTGGAATGGCAGTCACCTCTCTATCTCAACTTCATCGACTTTGAAAAGGCCTTCAGCGGACAGCGTCGATCGAGAGGTGATTTGGAAACTACTTCGCTACGAAGGGATGCTACCGACAATTATACATCTCATCCAACAGCTGTACGACAACGCTGCATGCTAAGTAATTCACAACGGGAAACTTACGGAATCCTTCGAAGTGATGAAAGGAGTAAGACAAGCTGGCTGCCTACCATCGCCAATGATTTTCCTGATTTCATTAGATTGGATAAAGCAACAGACAGCGGTGGGCAGCGAGGAGACAGGCATAAAATGGACTCACACAAAAAACCTGGAGGATCTGGACTTCGCCGATGATATATGTCTGATTTCCCACAAACTGGAAGATATGCAAGTGAAAAGCAACAAGTTGGCAGAAGAAGAATCAAAGATAGGACTTCAGGTGAACATAGAGAAAACAGAGGTGATGAAGATTCCTGGGCAACATCACTAACAGCAACAACAACAGACAACGATCAGCATAAATGGGAGGAACCTGAAAGAAACAACCTCCTTTACCTACCTACCCGGGAAGCATCATTTCAACTACAGGCGAACGGAACTGACGAGGATATCGAAGCGAGGACTGGGAGAGCAAGGCAAGCTTTCGAGTCTGTGTGGGGGTCAACAGCACTCAGCATCAAAAATAAGATCCTGATTTTCAACTCCAATGTGAAGTCAGTCAGTGCTACTATACGGATCAGAGACTTGGCGCGTCATAAAGAGCATCTCAAACAAACTACAGACCTTCATTAACAGTTGTCTTCGCTCAATACCACTCAAGATCAGATGACCGGCCAGAAAAGATCAGCAACAGAGATCTCTGGCAATGAGCGAACCAACTCAGCAGGAACTGATTGTGAAACAAACAGGCAGGAAGAAATGGATGTGTAAAACTTGGGCACTGTGGTAGTAAGTAATTCCATATTAGTTTGTTTATTTGATATATCACACAGTGAAACAGTATTATTTAATTAATTAATTATTAATCCAGTAAATAATACTGTTTCACTGTGTGATATATCAAATAAACAAACTAATAAGGAAGAAATGGAGATGGATTGGCCATACTCTGAGGAAACCATCAAGTGACATCACTAGACAAGCCATTGCTCGAGTGGAACCCAAATGGGAAGCGGTGAGTCGGTCGTCAGTGCGAGGGTGACTTGGAGGAGGTCATGTGAAGAGGAGATGGAAGCATGTGGGCAGACGTGGAGCCAGGTGAAAACTCTAGCAGAGAACCGAACACAATGGAGACGCATGGCTGAAGCCCTATGTTCCTCTAGGAATTAAAGGATACAATTTTTTTTATTCCTTCACGTTCCCAGTGGAACATTGGGCTTCAGGCTAGAGGCTTGAAGTTTCTGTAGCAGAGTTTATTACACAGGATGGGGTTGCTAGCCTCATGCCCAACCTTCCCTCTTTACCAGTCTTATTACTGGCTTAGTGAGGTAAAGGAGTGCGTCGGCCGGGGATCGAACCCCGGACCATGTGCATGGTCGGCAAGGATACAGTAATATATATATATATACATATAATAGGGTGAATAATACTGAGGTTAGGCGTCGAGTGGTACGTAGGTGGAAGGGGAAGTCAGTCGACGAGGTTGTGAAGTTACACCGATTGAGATGGTTAAGGCATGGTTGCGCATGCATGTCTAGCCATCGCCTTCCTCGACCAACGGGGAATGTTAGATGACTGACAAGGGATTCGGTCGGAAAAGAGTTAGCTAGTGGTGGTCAAACCAAAACATGATTTCAGCAGTCAATGAAATCCACAACAATTAGTTTAAGCCAGTCACGTAGGGAGTTGTAGACCACTTAGCTGATTGACGTTCTCGGGATTCTAAGAACCAATGACTGGAGACAATCGGTGAAATGGCCTAAAATTGTTCTCAATGGCTGGTGCAGATGCATTTATTCCTTGTGACTTATAATATCCAATAAAACTATATTGTTCTTCCATATTACTGCTCTTTTTGTCACACACTTCTGTTCATTATGTCTCTCCTTTGAATCTCCTTTTACTCTCTTGTCTTGCTTTGTATGCTACATGGTGTGTGGCAACTCGAACTGCTGGACGTCTGTGTAAAGTTTTACGTTGAAATCAGTGAGTCAGTCAGTTTTATAGTATCTTTAGGGAGTTTTCGCTTGAGAAAATTGAAACACTGACTGCCTTTGATAAAGTGAAATAAGGCACTTAGAAGACAAATTCGTAAGATGATATCATTTTGCAGTTGGTCTATAATCGTCTTACAAAGAGTATGGTTCACAATCATAATAATAACAGACAAATTATTTATTATTTATTTATTTTGGTTACAGCTTGATTCCACACCGTATTTTTCAGTACAAGTATGGAATTTTCAGCATGGATATCGGTAGCCCAAATTTTGCAGGCCGACCATAGATATCGGGTGTGCGTCGGCAGAGAATCGAACCTCGGACCATGTGCATGGTCGGCGAGAGTCCTAACCACTGTGTCACTATGATTGGTTTAATATTCAACTGTAAAGTTATGTATACTAGAGCGAAGCCTGACGAGATGTAACAGGAAACAATGTAGTTCGGTTGTATATGTTGCACCACATTTTCTAGTGACAACAACATATACGACAAGAATTATAAATTGAACTATGAGAAGACTTACTTTAAAACACTGCTTGGAAGTTGATCATGCGGTAACCAGATAGCCATCTGTGATCTGAAACATGATTTAAGCAGTACAAGAAGAAGGGATATATATTTTTAATTCCTTCTAATGTGTAAACCTCAAAAATAAGACAAAAAATATTTATGATTACTACTCACGCATCAGTGTGAATTAAAACACTATCCTACAATGAAAATCGAAAGGGATTCCTGGCTAGCAAAAGGGAGAACACAAGTGTATAATATATTTCAGTAATAGAAGATTCAGCGGACTCAGGACATCCAGGTCAATTTGAAAAGTCCTTCAAAGTCATAGACAAGATCCGATGAAACCTCTCAAAGGGAGTGAGATCAAGGCATCTGCGCATAGCTGAGGTACTAGAGATCCAAAAGTTCAAGCCCACATTATGTACTCGTCTCGTGACCGGAAGGTCCTGGGTTTGAACCACGGTGGGTGCGTACTGATGAATAGTCCCAAACTAGGATGAAACAGCTTTTCAGTACTCTCTGCAGGTTTTCCAATGGTTCTCCAACTGATGTCAGCTCATGATTGAAACCCTCCAACCAATCAAACTCAAAAAAATCCCTACAAAAGCCAATACTTAAAAGTTTATTTATTTCCTTCGCGTTTGGAAATTATTATGGAAGGTTAGAAATCCGTAAGAATAATAACATAATCCCTATTTACACCGTTACTTTTGTTGTTGTTTTTTTAATGCGTTCCGAGGGACGATAGTTCAGTAGACATGTATCTTTTATGGGCTTCATTTCTTTATTCAAGGTTTTCTGACTTAATGGTTAGGCGAATAGTCTGATAACTTAGAAGTTAAATACTCCCCTAACTTCATCGATACACGATACACAATGGAGTGAGTGCAACGACTCTCTACAGGTGTTAGTATCTAAGCGTACTCTCATCCTGTCGTCATTTTTGCCTGGCAATTCAATATATAACTGTTTCCAGCTACAAAAGGGAATTGGATTTTATTTTCTGGTGAGCTATCTTTATCTGGCTAAATTCATCAGGAAACATATACACTTTGCTTGATTCCCCCTAAGAATTTGTTTAAAAATGTATTTAAACACAAAAAAACTTGGTACAATATGGCACCAAAAAGATGTGCCACACAATAATAATAAAACAACATAGATTAAAAGTAAAAAATATAGGTGGAGAACGAAGAAACAACTTCATCAGGAAAGAAATCAGTTATATTTAAGGAGTTCAAATATTATCCGTCAATTATCGTCGGAAAGGAGAGAAGAAAGGAAATTGCCACAGGTTATCCATTGATTACGATTCTTGGCCATCTCCGATAACGTTCCGAGCCACCGATTTGATATATCTCTCGGACTCTAACCGATGCTAACTTAACACAAATATCCTTCATCCCACGAGGCCATGTCATGGGCTGACCAACTCTCCGCATCTTCCATCCCGTCCCAAGGCTAGCGAACAGAGACCTGTACGGAAGCCTCTGGGATGACATTCGCAGCACATGTCCAAGCCACCGAAGCCGGTGTCTGCAGATGACGACACTCAACGAATAGTGATCTCCACTGCATACAAACACACACCGCCGAACCTCAGAATTACTCACGCGATGATGCCATCGAACGCAAGCAATCCTGCGGAGACAGCGATGATCGAACACGCAGAGTCGCCGCACATCCTCAGCCTACTCCGAGAGGCCAGGTTTCACAGGCGTGGAGCAAGACAGTCCGCACCAAAGCATTGTGTACCCGACCTTTGACAGCCAGGCTAACGTCGAGACGGCGCCAGAGGTGGCTGTAGTTGATGAATGCCACCATAGCCTTCTCGATTCGATTGGAAATCTCATCCGTCACCCCTCCGCCAGCAGTCACACAACTAACCAGATTCACAAACTTATCAACAACTTCAAGCGGTTCACCTGCAAAAGTGAGTGTAGGTACAGGCTTCGGCCAATCTTGTAACAGTACTTCGCATTTAGACGGTGCCAAACACATACCATACTTACAGACACTGATCGCCAACTGATTAAGTGCGATTTGGGTAGCCGGCATGCTACCGCACAGTAAGACGATATCATCTGCATACTCGAGGTCGAAAAGTCTATCTCCAGGTAGCAGATCTACACCACCTTCACGCACATCCTTCAGAGCTGACTCCAGAATGTCATCGACGGCAAAGTTAAAGAGAAATGGAGAGAGATCGGACAACCCTGTCTAACTCCACTGTTGGTTGGGAACAGTGATGATAGTTGGTTGTATGCCCTCACTCTACCTGAGGTGTTTCTGTATAGCGCTTTCAGGATGTTCACAAACTTCTCACGTGCACCCCTCCTAAGAATAATGAACACTGAAACAATTCCAAAGTTGAATCAAAGTGTCTGGGCATAACTTCAGGGGAATATAAAACTCCAGTTAAATTTATGCTACATACTCCTGGTTATAATGATTCCACCTGAGTATAGTCTACATTTCAAATGACTATTTCCTTTCAAACAATAAGAACTAATTTTTTCTCTCGAAAGAGAAAAGAAACTTCAGCAACGAAAACAAAAAATAAACAGAGGATTACTTGATACGTTTTGAATAACTTTGCCAAAATGTAGCATGAACACGATCATGAAGTAATTGGTCAGCTAATCCAATTTCTCCGCTTGAATTATTCCCTTGACTATTGCTGCTGTCTTTCATTGTGTCCGGATTAAAATCAGCACTATGCAGTCGATGCGATGCAATATGATTTTGAAATGATCGAGAAAGTGGTGAACCAACGGGAATTCCAGTACCAGACTAAAATTAGGAGAGAAAAAATATATAAATTCCAGGAATTTCGGTTGCAATTATTTAATTTATGAGGTAAGATAAAATTGGGAAACAAAATATTTCTATTTATAAAGTGGAATCTATATGTGAAAGATGCAAGGGAACCGTGTAAACATAACCAATTCAAGTTAAATGACGCAACACATTATATGACTTTTACGAGTTGATCACGGATTGATATCAGTTAGAGAACCATTGAAAACCAGCCACAGGGAGTACTGGACAGCTACGTCATCCTAGTTTCTTGGGAATCATAGGCAGTACGCACCCAATGGGGTTCGAACCCAGGACCTTCCGGTTACAAGACAAGCTCGTATAGCATTCAGTCACTCATCAGTATGTACTTTTGTTTTTTATGTAACTGAGTAATTGTCATGAGCGTTATTTTATTATTGTTAACCATGTTAGCTGTAAGGCGGTTGTAAAGAGACTACGAAATGATATCATTTCGCGAAATTTGTCTTCTTAATGCCTTATTCAAATATATATATTGACTGGACATTAGTAACTAGTGTGATCTGTCTAGTCCTTTGTTTGGCGTCCAATCAAAGCACCGAATACAGTCTTACAGGAGGTCAATCGCGAACTTGAATAGCTCATTGGTAACGTCTCTGACTGTAGCACTGGGTGACGCGGGTTTGAATCTCAGAAGGGACATGATTTCCTTCGAGGTTACAGATACGCTTTGCTGACGAGTGCCAGCTAGCACGAAACCTAGGTCCAAGGCTTCCTGTGGCCGATTGCCTCCAACCATCTGCTATATATACAACCTGTATAACAGGGCAACTAAGTTGAATAGTTTCTGAAGTTTAACGTGAATGAACAGGTAATAACAAATACATGGTACATTCCATTAAAAATCGTAACAATTATGACAATATGAACACAAATGGAATTTACCTCATGAGGAAGATGCTTAAACCAACACGTGGGTATAACAGGATTGACAGTATCTACTGCATATTTGACAGCAGTACGACGTCGATACTTCGATGGATAATTTGTGGAATGTTGATCGAATCGATTTGTATTCAACCAAAAAGCAGAACCTTGAGCCTGTTTGTTTACATGATTAATGGGAAAATATAGGAAAAATATATCTTGAGTACTATTTACTATACAAGAGAATATAGCAACTAGAGAAAGGCAAAATTAAATTTGACTATTTTGTGAGAGAATCTTTGCCACCAAAATCTCTAACAATTTTTAACTTGAACTGAAAAAGTAGCTTCAGTAGCAGTGGTGTTTTCTTTTACGGAGTGGAGTTATTAACCTCACACCAAACCTTCCCTCTTTACCGGACTAAAAGAAGTTTACCAATGCGCTGGCCAAGGACCGAAACACGGACCACGGGCGTGGTTAGCGAGCATTCTACCGCTGAACCCCTGATATTATGCAAAATACTTTGTGGTACTTTGTATTCACCTTTGATCATGGATTGATATCAGTTACAGAACCATTCAGAACCGCCAAGGAGTACTGGACAGCTGTCTCATCCAAGTGCTTGGGACGCAACCAACGCCAGGGTTCGAGCTCAGAACTTTCCGGTTAAACGGCAAGCTCTTAGACCATTCAGCTACTGGGACCCAATCCAACGGCGCATAAATTCTAAAATCACAAATTGGTAGAGGTTAGAATTTATGGGCCATTGAGTCGACTTTCAGTGGTTGAATTGCCTACAGGGTTGCCTTGTAGGCGATGAGTCCCAAGCACTGGGAAGAGACAGCTGTCCAGTAATCCCTGACGGTTTTCAATGGTTCTCTAACCAATATCAATCCGTGCTCAAACTTGAAATTCCACTAATCCTATACAACCGGAACTAGTCAAATTAGAAAACTTTTAACTGAAAATCTTCTTCCGTCATAAAAGAAGTGATAAATAAAAGGTTGGTTGCTATTGGTAACCTAGTGTGAACAGAGCATTTATAGACGAGTAATCTGGCTCCACTAAATTTTCTTTTTAATGCAGTTCGAGGTAATTTGAATAAACTAACCTACAATTTGCCTTCAGAATAAGTTCGAACAGCCTTTCGTCCAGTCTTACTTTAGGAAGACCGAATACGATTTATTCATTTCTTTCATAAAGAGAACACTCGTTAATTTCTTTTCCACCTGTTTTATAATACATTATCCTAAAAATATTTCGAAGATCGAATCTTGCTGTCTTCCTCAGCATCTTATCAACCACATCTATTCTCATATACCATTCTTTCTTCAATAATTTTGTCAACAAATCGACCGAAATTCGTACAAGTATCATGATTATTTTGATTACTACTGAGGTGTCAAGCAGATTGATAAAAAGTGGCCAAAAAAACTGAAATCAACATATACAAATCAATGGCTGCTAGGTTAGAATTGTTTATTTTTCAAATCTGGATTTAGTTTACGTTGTGGACATGAAATAATCTCATTGGACAGCTTATTTCACCTTGTGCCAGTTGTCAACCAATCAGAACGATTGATTCTCCTGGGGAACTAGCCGAACTTTAATATGGTTAAGAATGTCAAAAAAAATTAAATCTGCTCCTTTTTAATTATTATATAACATTTCCACGTAGAAAAAGATATCGTATAAAAAATTCATAAAAAAATAATGAGAAATAACCTGTAATTCACCAAGTTTTTCATACACCGGTTCATTGTGATTCTGAAATTAAAAAGGTAGATGTAATACAAATTAGTTTTCACTTGGTATCCAGTGAATAAATATTACAAATAAAACTATATACTACTGATTGATTGAGATGAGTAGTTGTATACCACTGATATCAACTAGTAGGGCTGACGAAATCTCAGCACTTATACAGAAGGCTCGTTTCACATATGCCAGTTTACAACGTCTCTAAAGTAGACGTGATATCCAACTGGCTGTCGACCAAAGGACGTGTGTACTGCTCAACAGCATTCCGCTCCGTCTTTCTTTATGCCTGTGAGACCTGGCCATTGAGACTGGAGGACATGAAAAACCTGGCTAGCTGTCTTTGATCATAGGTGCCTACCTGCGTTCTATTTCCCATGTGGAGTGGTATAATAGGGTGAGTAATATTGAGGTCAGGCGTCGAGCGCTAGGTAAGGCGGGGAAACCAATCAACGAGGTTATGAAGCTACATCGACTGAGATGGTTAAGACATGCGTTACGTATGCATTGCTAGCCATCACCTTCCTCGATGAGCAATATGAGCTGAAAGATATAGGATCAGGTTGGAAAAGAGCTTGTGACGGACAAACCAAAACATGGCTTCATCAGTCAATGAAATCCAGAACAGTTATTTTAAGCCAGTCAGTCACGTAGTAAGGTGTAGACTTCCTGGTTGGGGTCCTCGGGATGGCAAACACCAATGGTGGTGATTGGAGACAATTGGTGATATGGCTCAAAATCGTTCTCAATGGCTGGCGCAGATGCATCGACTCCTTGTGACTTATAATCCCAATGAAACTATATTGTTCTTCTTCGATATTACTATTCCTTTTGCCTCACACCTCTGTTTACTGTCTCTGTTTTGAATACTTTACTTTCTTCTCTTGCTTTGTGTACTAATTGCAAGGAGTGTGGGGACTTGAACTGCTGCACATTGGTGCAAAGTTCTATGTTGAAACCAGTCAGTCAGTCAACTAGTAGGGGTGCTTGCTAATCAGCCAGATCGAGGTGATCCAAACATCGGACGGTCGTTTAGCTCGTTCGCGGCGAAGCTAATCAGAGGTGTACAGTTGCGAACAAAAAGCAATTTACACAATGAAAACAGCCATCACATACACCTCAAAACACTTACTGTGCTTGCTCAGTCAACAATAAAACTCTGTCTATGATAGAAACAACTAGATAGAGGTTAGACACTCGAACGGATTATTCTCACAAGTATAGAATGTAGAACACGTTTAAGTAAGTTGATTTCAAGAGAGTCATTTGAAGGAAGACTATGGATGATAAAATAGGCTCTAAATGCTATTCACTAAAAGTCAGTTTTAAAAGAGTCAATAATCGATTACCACCCACTCGCTACTAGTATTATTTTCTAACTTAAGTCTGAAGAATTCTAACAGTGATTATTGGTATTTCAAACAAGAAGCATAGAAACAGACTATCTCACTGCTATTAACCATTGAACAAGTGAATAAGCAACAGAAACTATCGATTTATTGTCCTGAACATACAGGGCTAATACAATAAACATCAACTATCTTCAAAACTACTGTTAACGCGAATTTCATTCTGTAGAGTGAATGAAAGAAAGTGATACCATGTAAGTGATTTTGTGTCATTGAGATACACTTATCCATGGAATCTGAGCATGCATGCATGCATGACTGACTGACAGACTGGTTTCAACATGGAGCTTGGCACAGAAGGGCAGCAGTTCAACTTGCCACACTCCATGTACCACACAAAGGAAGGCAAGAGAGAGCAAAGAAGGATTCAGAAGAACAGTACGAAGAATAAATGGGAGGGAGAAAGAATACTAACACGGAGAAACAATAGTTTTTGATGGATACAGAGGGCCACAAAGAGTGAATGCATCTTCCCCATTGAGACCCAATTATCTTCAGCCACTGGTTCTTAGCGTTTTGAAGACCCCAAGCAATCAAACAGTTTACACTTTTAACGTTGCTGGATCAAACTAACTGTCGAAAATTTCTTAAAGTGATTCCAAGTTTTCGTTTGACTACCAACCATTGTAACGACAGAAGACAAAGGCCAGGCAACAGATCGTTTATTGAGAAAATCAAGAGGTATTTATCAATTTATATGTGCATTATTATTAGCGTTATTGTCAACAGAGAAGCAACCTCTTCTGATTGGTTCTTTCCTTGCTGAAGATTATTCTGTTATCTCTTTGTGGTCGTTTCTCAGAAAATCAAGCCATATATCTATGAATCATATTTCCACACTTTAACTTCACTGTGATCGGCTGGTGATTTTCTCAAGGTTAAGCTTTGTTATTGTTTCTCTCATGTCCCTGATTCGGGACGTGAACATTGGCATAAATGGTGTTGTCTACAATTTTCGCTTGCCGACCGCTCTCACCACACCACTAGCTCTTTTCCAACTTAATCCTATGCCAACTAGAATCGCTCGTCGCTGGAGCAGAGGAATGCGTAACACATATCCTAGCCATCTCAGTAGATGTAGCTTCGTAAAATCATCGATTGACTTCCCCTCCTTACCTAACAACCGACGCCTAACCTCAGTATTACTCACCTTATTCTACCACCTAACATGGGAGATAGAACGCAGACACCTATAATCAATAACAGCTAGTATTTTCATAACTTCCACTTTCAATGACCAGTCATAATTGAGGACGGAGCGAACCAGTATGCATGAAGAAATCTTGAAAACTAAGAAATAATGAGATATAACTTGTTGTTGTTCCGTTTTATGGTGGTAAAACAAAGTTCTTCAACAAATGCATGAATCTTGAGAATGCGGATAACAATTTATTATTATTTCGAGTGTCGTTTCGCTGACACTTAGTAAATCCATAGCATCATAGACTTTGGCAGATGGAGTATGTAATCTAGGAACTTTGCCATTTATTTATTGAAACAATTGACTTTTAATTAGTGGATCACGAGAGAAAAAGCAACCCTAGCATCTATCAAGGTTTTGGCGTACAAAACCGACGAAAGATGGAGGCCTTGCGACATTTTTTAAATTTTGGTTACAGCTTGATGCCACACCGTATTTTCAGTACATGTATGGCATTTTCAGCATGGATATCGGTAGCCCAAATTTCACAGGCCGACCATAGATATCGGGTGTGCGCCGGCAGGGGCTCGAACCTCGGACCGTGTGCATGGTCGGCGAGAGTCCTAACCACTGTGCCATCGACGCACATATGGAAGTCTAGCTGGTACTGATTTAGTAACACTAACGTCAACTTGATTGAACTCCAGAAACTAATCAATACAAGGTCCTTTGTAAATAAATAAAGGATTAAATAGACTAGAAGCTTTCGCTGCCGAAGAGTGAAACATCACCACTTGGTTGCTTTCTAGCAACTGTTAGTAAGATGTTTATATAATGTGAATTCGAGGTCATTGAAGGTGTTTTAAAGATTACAATACTGACTGACTGGTTTCAACATAGAACTTTGCACCGATCGATGTGCAGCAGTTCGAGTCGCCACACTCCCTCCAATTAGCACACAAAGCAAAAGAAGAAAGTAAAAACAAATGCGAAACAGAGATAGTAAACAGAGATGTGAGGGAAAAATAATAATCTTAATTACCACAGTTTCTGCCCTGTTCGGTAGAAAAGAACCTTAGTAAGGTGCCTTTTCAGTAGAATCCAACGAATATGCACTGAAGACACATTTGATGATGAAGAAATAAAGTTGTCACAAACTCTGGTTCATCTGGAGATATGGAGTAGTCAGAACACCAAGACACCCACTCTCCAACTTGCCACTAAGAAAGACACGTGTACATCAAGCTACCCTATATGGGTGATTATAGCAGCTCGATAACTATACAAAGATTGAACGCTGCTGTGGTTAAAAAACTTTTGTGCAGCTAATATCATAATAATTGAGAATGTGAAGCCAATATATCCATCCAAGCCCTTTGAAAATGCGAAAAATGATGTCACATCCCACTGTATTTACCAATTTGAATGTACGTGTGGACACATATACATAGGGAGGACTCATCGATCTCTGCAAGTAAGGGCTGGCTTCAGAGCACATTCCTAAATGGCTCCAGAAACACATAAAATCATCAGAACCCATTAATGGTAAGAACAGGAGATCTAGCTCCTCTACTGCCAAACACATTATAGAGACAGGACATAAAATTGACGTTTACACATCTTTTAAACCTACCCATAAAACGTGTTTGGGGCGTATCCTAAAGTTTGTGGAACCCCTAGCTGGCAATTAGGATGTTTAAACCACCTTTATGCGTTCAAAAACAATTCGTCATCACACGAAATCTTCCTTGGTAAACTTTGTTTTGATACCATAGCAGATGTACTATTACCTCTGCTATTTGGTTTAGTGGTCTTCATTGCTATTTTGACCTTCAATATGTCCTTTTAACTTGACCTAAGTCTATTTTCTCACCTCTTAACTCTTTATTAATTTCATGTTTATTTCTATGACAAGTCCGTGTGTGATCAGATTGTTCGAAATGTGTTGCACAAATACACATTGCACGATTCAGACAAATTACGTCTTCTTACTGCTTTATCTAAAAATAATAGTAATATCGAAGAACAATATGGTTTTATTGGATATTGTAGGTCACAAGGAGTCGATGCATCTGTGCCAGCCATTGAGAACGATTTACAGCCATATCACCGATTGTCTGCAGCCGCCATTGGTGTTTACCGTCTCGAGGACCCTAACCAGTCTGGAAGTCTACACCCTCCTGATTACAATACTGGGCACACACCGCTACAACCAGACATGTTACCTATCAGTGGATATGCATTCGGTGTACCGATTGGCTGTCATGTCATATATCTTCAATTACAAATAAAATTTTGTCGAGTTAAAACCCGATTTTTTCCAACAACAAAAGACAAATAATAATTTCAAGTATTGGTTTGTAGGGATTTGGTTGATTGGTTACAGGATTTCATCATGAGCTGACATTGGTTAGAGAACCATTGGAAAACCTGCAAGGAGTACTGGACCAGTAGGGTGCAGCAGGTCGGGTGTGAGGACAAATACTCACCAACGATGACATTGGCTAGCGGTTGCGCTATATCGTGAATTGGCAGAAGTTAGAATTCATGGACTGGACATTGGATCGGGTCCCAGTGGCTAAATGGTATACGAGCTCACCCTGTAACCGGAAGGTCCTGGGTACGAACCCCGCAGTGTGGGTGAGTACTGATGAAGAGTCCTAAACTAGGACGAAATAGCTGTCCAGTACTCCCTGCAGGTTTTCCAATGGTTCTCTAACCAATGTCAGCTCATGATGAAATCCTGTAACAAACAATAATTATTATCGAGTTACCTGATTATTATTATTATTAAATCTAGCTGATTTATAATCCATAGCTTGTTTTTCACCTAGCTTGCGAATAGCATTGATTGTTGATGACAGACGCAGGCGTTCTTCTCTTTCCAAAGGCATAATTTCAACACTACGCTTGAATTCATCCAGAAGACTAGCATCTCGTTGATCAGGTCTTATTCGTTGACAATAGGCAGTAGCTAAATTTTCTGACATTGTTGTATCCGATGAAGTTGGCGGAGCCACTTGAAAATCTGCTAGTAGACGACGCTTTACATCAGCTAACCAGTAGGTTAAATAAGCACTACGTAAAAAGAGAAATATACATTAAAAGCTTGATTGATATGAGGTACAACCATATAAAAATATCGGAACGAATTCTGATGTAGATCCTATATTACATTACAATTATTCCCTTGGGTTCCAAGTGGAACATAAGGCTTCAACAGCACATCCTCATTTTGTCCTGTTCCCTGCAGTCCTCTTCAGCTGACCGTACGATTACCAAAAAGGTCTCATCTCTTCCTTATACGACCTCCTCCATGTCACCCTTCGGATGCCCAACTCGTCGTTCTCCATTCGGATTCCACTCGAGCGATGGTCTGCAGCGCGATGTTACCCAATGGTTTCTTCAGAGCGCATCCTATCTATCCATCTCCATTTTCTTCAAAATAGGTTGTTGGTTGGTTCATTACCAGTGTTTCTTGTTGATGATTACAGTCGGCCAAATGATCTTTAGAATGGAGCCAGCGAAGGTAGCCTGTTGAAGATGCTATTCGTGACCAACAAAACGGAGAATAGAATATTTACCGGTGAGTATCAAAAAAATTGGAACTTCAGTCCCAGACTGCCTTATCATACTAGTTAAATGGTCAGTAATCCTTAAAGATTACAGGGATGACTAATTGTCAAAATTCGCAAGGGACGAAGATTCGTTTCTGAGTTTAGTGTTGTTACTATGGAAAATACGTTAATATACAATACTTTTAGATAAAAAGAAATTATTAAGAACACAATATTCAGAGAAGAGACCCTTTTCAACGAATGTATTATCAAGCTGTACAATCGTATATACATAGGCTTTTTAAGAAAATATATCCAGTGAGGGATGGGATACGAGAGAACATTCTAGCATGGTTTAACAAAGGTGAAAGAAAGGGTCTGAGAAGGTGTATTTTAGTAAACTTGATCGACTTATGTCACTCCGTCAATCCAGACGAAGGTTTAAAGATTATCTACCGAATTCATCTCAATTAATTTGCCACAGTTTTTTCCAATCCACACATCTTAAGGTCTTGACTATTTATGAATTCAAGCCAGACCTTTGTATACAAAAGGAGTATGTACAGTTCCATTATGTAGGAAACCTATTTCATAAAGTCTCACAGTGTCATACAGAGTAACACTAGCATTTATGAAAAGCCAAAGCATTCTGCTAATAGATATTTAGACCTTAATTCATCTCATCTGTTATCTATCTGTAAAGGCAGGCTTAGTTAAATGTCTAACAAACCGAGTAATAACTCTACTGAGTAGTACATCAAAAAAAAACCTAAATGATGAAATGAAACAGACAGAAGAATAACTGGGTGGTGTTAAATAACTGTTCCTTAAAATTCATTAGAAAGATCAGAAAAGATCGAAACCAAAGTAAAAATAGTAGTAAAATTGTCTGTCTGGATTCAACATAGAACTTGACACCGAAGTGCCACGTTCCAAATACCACACAAATTTAGACGAGAAGATGAGTGAAGAGAATCAATAGAGTTTTGACAAGTATAAGAGTGAAACACAATGAGTAATGGTAGAAAGGAATATGAAAGATTACAGGGACTGAATACATCTGCGTAAGCCATTGACAACGATTTTGAGCCATGTCACCTAGTGTCTCCAGCCATTGATTCTTAGAGTCCCGAGGGCGGGCCCCAACCCGGAAGGAGTCTGAATCTCCCTTCCTACCTGACTCAGTTTAACTGTCAAGGGTTTCATGGATTGATGAGGCCATGTTTTTGTTTGGCCACCACTTACTCTTTTCCAACCTGCACCTATATCAGCTAGCAATGCCCGTCGGGGGAGGCGATGGCTAGATATGCGCAGCACGTGACCTAGCCATCTCTATCTATGTAACTTTATAGCCTCGTCGATTGATTTTCCCTCTTTGCCCAACACTCTACGCCTAACGTCAACATTACTTACCTTATTATACCACCTAAGGTGAGAAAGAGATCGTAGACATCTATGATCAAAAACAGTCAACCTTTTCATGTCTTCAACTCGTATTGGCCATGTTTCAGAGCTATAGAGAAGGACGGAGCGAACTTCTGAGCAGTTCACACATCCCTTGGTTGATAGCCGGATGTCAGGCCTACGCCAGAGATGGCGTAATTTAGCGAAAGCAGCTCGAGCTTTTTGGATCCGTGCTGAGATTTCGTCGCCAATCAGTCCGTTGGTGCTGATACAACTTCCCAAATGGGTGAAGCGGTCAACATGCTCCATCACTTCACTCCCTATCACTAAGGTAGGGGTTGACGTAGTCCAGTCCTGTAGCAGCATCTTACATTTTACAGGGAGTAGTAAAACTACCACTACTAATAATAATAACATTAATAAGAGAGAATATAAGGTGTCTACAGTTTTACCACATAAGGAGGGGGACATCTGAGACTTTACTTAGTAGGATTCTTAATAAAGCAGGAATTAGGGTGGGATTCAAATCTAAAAATTCACTCAGAGACAAGCTCTGTAGGCTAAAGCACCCGGTGGACCCAATTAGAGAAAGTGATATAATTTACAAAATATCTTGCAATCACTGTCAGTTAAGTCAATAACATAGGTCTAACTAGTAGATTGGGGGTAATCAGATTGTCGGAACATGAGAATTTAGCTAAGGTAAGAATGGTTGACCCCATGAGGATAAGCAATTGCACTGCATGCACTAACACACAACGAAATAATAGGGTGGGATAGAGTGAAAATTCTAAAAAGTAATATAGGTAGGTAGAGGGATACAGAGGTTGATTACTGAATCTTTGTTCATAGAACCTACAACAAACACCAAACTCATCACTGATACCGCAAATATGGAAAATACTACTACCAATTAAATCGAGAGATGAAAAATAATGGAATTATATAAACGAAGTTAGAAAGTTGTGTGAATACCTTGATATGATTATGAGCAGCAATCAATTATGCTCGAAACATCATCAGTAAATAATGCCGTATAACGCTATGAGACTTCATCAAAATAAATTTTATCCACAATGGAATTATACTCTATCACAGTGCCCAAGTTTTACTCTTATATCAACTGTGTCAGTCTCTATTTCTACTACGGTCGTAGAGGGATAAACTTTTGTTTATTTATTTTTCATTTTGTTTACTCAATCTATATACCTTCCCCTTTATTACTGTGGTTATTATTATAATAATTATTATTAATCCCACTTTGAACAGTTTCCGCTATTACTTTGCAATGTTAAATTCTATCTTATTAACCTTCTGGCCATGTTACGTAATCTTTCAATCACCTATCAATTCTGTTAATTTTCTATCCCTTTTCCGAGATCTATACATTCTATGTACTATTCTCCTCATGACATTATTTGTTTTATTACTTGGAATTGAATCATGGTTATAACCACAGACATTTTAAACCTTTTTCATATTACTGTTATTTTTGGTATTCACACCTTTGTTTGCATTAGATGGTTGGAGGCAATTGGCCACAGGAAGCCCTGCCTGACCTAGATTTCGTGCTACTTGGTACTCACCAGTCAGCAAGGCGTATCTGCAACCTTGAAGGAACTCATGTCCCTTCTGAGATTCGAACCTGCGTCACCCAGTGAGAGCTGCAGTCAGAGACGTTGCCACTGAGCTATTCGGCCTCGCGATTGACCTCCTGTAGGACTGTATTGGATATTTTTGATCGCACACTAGTCAGTAACTAGTGTAATGTGTCTAGTCCTATCTTCGGTGCAGACTGAATTCTATCAGTCATGTTTGCAATGTGGCCACCATGCTACGTGGCTCGCCATTACGGTGCACTGTGAATTGTTGGTATTAGATAGTTGGAGGCAATCGGCAGGAAGCCTTGGACCTAGGTTTCGTGCTCAGTGGTAACGTCTCTGACTGCAGCACTGGGTGACGCGGGTTCGAATCTCAGAAAGGACATCAGTCCCTTCAAGGTTGTAGATACGCCTTGCTGAATGGTGAGTGCCAACTAGCACGAAACCTAGGTCCAAGGCTTCCTGCCGATTGCCTCCAACTATCTAATACCAACAATTCACAGTGCACCGTAATGGCGAGCCACGTAGCATGGTGGCCACATTGCAAACATGACTGATAGAATTCAGTCTGCACCGAAGATAGGACTAGACACATTACACTAGTTACTGACTAGTGTGCAATCAAAAAAACACCTTTGTTCACACTTCCTCACGGGATGTAGTTTCTTAAAAACTCCGGTCTGGAGTGAGCACAAATACTTGCCAGGGATGACATGGGCTGGTGGTCAGTCGGTTGTGCTAAAATCACGAATTAGTAGAAGTTGGAATTCATGGACTGGTCATTGAATCGGGTCTTACTGGTCTACGAGTTGCCTTATAACCGATAGGTTCTGTGTTCGAAACCCGATGGGTGAGTATTTTATTACAGCTTGGCTCCATATAGTATTTATAATGCAAGTATGAAATTTTCGGCATGTGATATCGGTAGCCCTAATTTTGCAGGCCGACCATTGATATCGGATGTGCGTCGGCCGGGGTTCGAACCCCAGACCATGTGCATGGTCGGCGAGTATCCTAACCGCTGTGCCACCGACGCATTACAGATGAGTCCCAAACTAGGACAAAACAACTGTCCAGTACTCCCTACTTTTCAGTGTTATCAATCCGTGGTCAAACTCAAAATATACATAAGACCGTACACCCTGATAATACATTCTTTGAAAGCAGTCTCGTCACTAAATATTGTGTTCTTAATGTGTTACAATAAGAATTATTAAATTATTCAATCAAAATCAACTAACCCATAAGGAAAATCAAGTGTTTCATCACCAGCTGCAGCTGATTTAACAACAGGAATAACTGGACGGATCAGTGAGGTATACTGACATAGTTCAGAATTCGAGGAATTACTTTCATCTGATTTTGTTGATTCAGTAGGTGATTCATTGAAATACCGTGGATCACCGTATGGTTGTGGAACGCGTCCAGGCACTAAAACACCCCATTTTAATACCTAACAAAATTTAAAAAAAGAGGATAGTTTTAAGGATTTTAAATTTCAGTGTGATTACTCACTCATTTGACATACTGAAAGCTTATGAAAGTGAAAGTAATATGCAACGCTACTGAGAAAATGTGTACATAATTATGCCTTGCAAAATTGTAGGTTATGCCCTAGATCCACTTTGACTCTGTATCATTCCCAGATGTTTTTTGTTAAATAAACCTTGTTTGACACAAATCGAGTTCTCAGCCGTTAATTGGTTGCATTCTCATTTCTCTGATGGAATGCAGTTTACTGTATGTAAATGCAAATCTTCCTCTGCCTTGCTTACTGAAGCTGGTGTGCCCCTCAAGATGCTGTTCTCTTTCCTCCTCTTTTTTATTTTTTTATTATAGCTTGAAACCACACAGTATTTTTGATACAAGTATGGAATTTTCAGAATGTGATATCGATATCCCAAATTTTACAGACCGACCAATTGATATCGGGTGTGCGTCGGCAGGGGATCGAACCCCGGACCGTGTGCATGGTCGGCGAGAGTCTTCTCTCTTTCTTACACAAATTGCCTCGTTCGGATGAAGTCAACTTCGTTAAACACATTAATGATCTGACTGTATCGTAGTCAGTTACGTCCCAATCTGACTGTTTTTTGAACAGAATACCTTTTCGTCGGACATAAGCCAGTGGTCAAAGCTAAATGGTCTTAAGTTAAATCCCTCCAAGTGTCAGATAGTTAACTTCACCTTCATGCATAAACGTCATCAACACGAACTGGTTCATTCACAAGGTGCTTATAGCATAGAGGGCACTGAAATAGAAACTAAGTCAAGTATTAAATACCTTGGAATAGATCTATCCTCTGACATTTCTTGGTCATCCCATATCTTGTCGATTTCTAGGAAAATATTTCATGTAACCTTCTATATTAGGAAGTTAAGATAATCAGGTATCACTCAACCCTTACTTTTACAATTTACTAACTCTTGCATCTTACCTATAGTTCTTTATTGCCTCCCACCTGCTCAGTCTTTCCTTGGCTACCCAAAAAGGACTATGTCGTATTTCGAACGGTATTAAAGATTGTCAGCAAGGCAAGTGGTGTGCCAATAAATCAGTTTGTTAGCATTGTAGTCGGCAGACATCTGGAGTCATGAGAGAAATGGACTAAATCTTCATTTTCTGACTTTCAGCACTCTATTTTTTACTTACCTGCCAAAGGGATAGTAAATGCAAAGGGATATGTAAATGCAAATCTTCCTCTGCCTTGCTTACTGAAGCTGGTGTCCCTCAAGGCGTTGTTCTTTTTCATTTTCTTTTTTACTTTCTTCTTACACGATTTGAGTCTTCGGGAAGAAATCAACTTCGTTAAATACGTTGATGATCTGACTGGCTCGTTACCAGTTACATCCCGATCTGAAGCTTCCCAATTAAAAACCTTTTTGATGTAGTTGTGTTTTCTGAGCTCGATAGTCTATTTGCGAAGCTTCCATTGCCCCACTAAGCAAAATCTTCAGCGCATACTTCAAATTGAAGTGGTGTGATCATAGGCCAGTTCGTTACTATTGTAGTTGTCAGACTTCTGAGCTCATGAGAGAAATGGACTAAATCCATATTGTCTGAATCTGAGCACTCTCCTGTTTTTATTTATTTCCCAAAGGGATGGTTTTTCAATAGAACCAATGTCGAAAAGATCCAAATCATGATGACTGGTAAGATGACATAAATCATCTTTAAAATCCTTTGAAATGAATTTCAGCATCACACGAAATTTCACCAAATGAATTCAAAATATCGCCAGAAGCATTTTCAGCAATATGTAAAGTACGGGGGGAACTAGAGAGAATTCTTCCTACTCCTCTGAGATAGGAGAAACTGGAGTGAAAATCTCTGCACCTAGACTGATCATTTCTCCATGTTCTGCACAAATAATGCCCTCACTAGATTTCAATGCATTCCTGGAATCCAGATTACCAATTTGGTTTTAAACATCAATTTTCATGGATACACTGGAACCCAATTGTGCCAATAATGCATCAACTGATAAATCGCTCTGTACTTCTGCGGTTGATTAGATATCTGTTATCTGTTTTAAGTCAATTTTGATTTCCTCGTTGATTGATTGGATCAAAACGTTCCTTCTCTTTTGGCAAATAGGGTCCTAGTAAGGACGTTTCAACATTATCCGAGGATTAACAAAGTAATTTGGCGGATGGTGACAAACAGTGTAATCCAAGTGCAACGACAGAAGACGAGAGCCATGCAACAGGTCGTTATTAAGAAAATCAACAGATATTTATAGATTTTTATGCACATTATTATTCGTTATTATTAGCAAAGAAACAGCGTCTTCTGATTGGTTGTTTCCTCACTGAACATTACTCTGTCATCTCTTTGTGGCCATTTCTTTGAATGTCAGACTATATATCTGCGAATCGTATCCGCCCACACAAAGTCGGCTGTGATTAGTTGTTGATTGGTTGTCTTTGTTCTTGTTTTTTTCTCACGACCAAGATTTAGAACGTAAACATTGACGTAAATTGCTGTCTACCAATTTTGGCTAGCAGACAGCTCTCACCACACAGGATGCTCATTTCTTCTTATTTCGAACATCATCGAAGCATCCGCACCAAGAACCGACATGTCAACAGAGGTGAAACATTTCGGTCAAATCAAAATTGACTCAAAAGAAGAAATAACTGAAGCCCTTTGTACAAGAAAGATGGCTCTTGTGGCCTAAGTAGTCTGAAAAAAGGGTACTCGGTTCGAGCCTCAGGAGAAACGCCATCACTCACTCACTGGAGATTGTAACGAGCTCTAAATAGGGGAAAATGTGCATCCTGGACCTCACTGGCTAGTCACAATCCCCCGAACTTATTCAGGGGAGTTACCCTATTTTTTGAAATGAAGTTAGTGGATTTTAGTCCATAACCCACCCCTCCCGACCTTTTTGGAGGGTTTATTTACTAGATTATTTCCAGCTGAATACTCGGGACTAATCTCACAGGACCGTTGAAAAAGCTAGTGAAACAGCTAAAAAGAAATCATTGACACCTAACAGCATATTGATAACTATGAAAGCGGGGGTGATTAAAACCCCTACAAACTGACTCAGGCAAATCTGGTAAACTTTTACATTATTATTATTGTTTCCTTTAGTTCCTAGAGGAACATAGGACTTCAACCGCACGTCTCCATTGCGTTAGGTTCTCTGCCTGGCTCCACATCTGCCCACATGCTTCCATCTTCTCTTCACATGACCTACTCCATGTCACCCTCGCACTGACGACTAACTCGCCGCTTCCCATTCGGGTTTTACTCGAGCGACGGCCTGCGTGAGATGTCACCTGATGGTTTTCTTACAGAGTATGGCCAATCCACCTCCATTTCTTCCTGCATATTTGTTGCACAATCGGTTCCTGCTGGGTTGGTTCGCTCATTGCCAGAGATCTCTGTTGCCAACCTTTTCTGGCCGGCCATCTGATCTTGAGAAGTATTGAGCGAAGACAGCTGTTGATGAAAGTCTGTAGTTTGTTCGAGGTGCTCTTCGTGACGCGCCAAGCCTCAGACTTATACATAGAAATATATAAATATGCTAAGTAATATAATAATTTATCGCACAATTTAAACGAATTTTTCCGGAGACAGTTCTCAAATCACTTGAAGTACTAAAAGCATCCGTAGGTAAATAACACATGCTAAACATTTTCAGTCATCTGAACAGTTTTACTTACAGAGAGTGGGCTAATAGAATACATTTAATAAAGAATTATACCAACAAATTATAACAGGGCAATATCTCACTTGATCATAATGTAATGGTAAGCCTTGCCAACAAAGTCGTAGAAGTTTTGGTGCTATACGCATTTGAGCAGTTAATAGCGCTGGTCCAGCGTCGAGATTTTCTTTTACTGGTTTAGGGATCAACTCTCTATACCATCTGATGAATAAAATGGGGGTATACACACAAACAAATGAATACGGGAAATAATCGGAATAAAATAACTGACAGAGAAATTCATCACAATTATAATCTGTAAAGTGGTAAATCACTGGAAACGACAACTACAAGAAATGAACTACATGTTGTCTTCTAATAAAGACTGTAACTATCCAGATCATAGATCTACTCTGAAAGGTGAGTTCACTGTAATATATGTACTTTCTGTAGCTTACACACCGAAACGTTCAGATAAAATCTTGTTTTAATTTTCTAAATACTGAGATTTATGGTTGATGCATCTTGTTGAGGCTGTACGACACATTAATGATGTGTTGTTTTGCGATGTGTGATTTTATTTGAGTAGTTCTGTGGTGAGAGCTGTCTGCTAGCCAAAACTGGTAGACAACAATTTACGTCAATGTTAAAGTCCCAAATCGGAGTCATGAGAAAAGACAAGAACAAAGCTTAACCTTGAAGAACGCAACAACCAATCATGGCAGACTTAGAGTGGGCGGATACAATTCGCAGATATATCATCGGACTGTCTAAGAAGCGTCAACAAAGAGATGACAGAATAACCTTCAGCAGGAAAACAACCAATCAGCAGACGTTGCTTCTCTGCTAACAATAACGCTAATAATAATATACATAAAAATCTATAGATATCTGTTGATTTTCTCAATAAAGGATCTGTTGCCTGGCCCTTGTCTTCTATCGTTACAGTTCGAGGTCAGTCTAACCTTGGACTGTCTGCGGGAAGCACTGGTGTGTGTTTCTAATGGACACAGTTTTTGATCCCACTTTGTTCGGAATATTCTACTCGACTCTAGGGTAAGGTAGATCTTACAGTTGAATTTTGGTTAACTCATTTTGTCCGACAGTGCTTGCTTTGTGCTTAGAAATCTACACACTATCTGTATAGCTGCCTGCCTAACGGCACTATTCAGGTAATTTTGAGTTTTTGAAGTTATCATTGTTGTTGAGTACAACCATATAGATTATACGGTGGAGAACCGTCTTTTTGCCATCTTTGGAGCGTTTCATGGCTGTGTTTTTCTCAGGGAAGTTTCGGAGAGCAAGGATTGGTTCATTGTGTTTAGACTGCAACGAGTTGGTTTTGATCGTTGCTATGTATATATACCCTAATATACGTTGTCGCTGTTGCCGTTGTTTTCGCAGTTAAATCTGTTTTTCGTGTCTATCTCAGTGTAGGGGATATTCTCAAGTGACCAGTTGGTTAGAATGTTGTGTCTGGAGGCGTAAATTCTAGTTAAAAAACACTAACACTCAGTAATAACAGTATTAACCTGAGATGCATCCTAGAAGATTTTAACAGAAAGTGAAAACCTCTTAATTTCATACTATTCAGAGAAATGTATACATACCACACGGTTTAATATCATTACACTAAGTGAACGATACGTCATTGTGCTCTTAGAACTATTCATATGAACATACTAATCAATAAATAGTCAACCAACCAGGCTACGCGGGTGTTCAGAGACATAATCTACCCACTAGGATAATACCAAGTGAGATAATTACGAGGAAATTAAGAAAATCAGTTCAAAGAACTTTTAATGCTGGCGAACTACACGTCTTATACTCTACACGACCGACGGTGCTACCTCGACTGAAAGATGAAGTACCTAGACTAACCCCTCCAATTGTATCTACTAATTCAACTGCACTTGTGGAGCGAGTTATATTGGCGGTTGCTCTAGGAACTTGATTTTTCGTGCTCACTCAAGAACATCTCCCAGTATGGCTAAGTAAAGGTGTAGTAATAACAATCAGCAGTTCGATATTGGACCATCTGGTGCAAACCAGCCATAAAGCCAGTGTGGAAGAATCCTTCTCTGTCATCTACCGGGTGGCTAATAAATTGCTAAAATCATCGAAGTACTGCATGCTCCAAACACCAGAGGCTATTGCAATTCGACTCAAACAACCAGTGCTCTGTGTCCAGAAGAAGCAAGTCCAGGCAGCCAACACTACTGCCATGGCCTTCAGTAGAGAATATAAATTCATGAATTTGTACTATTATCTTTCATGATTCTTGTGACATTCAGTTTATTTTATGTTGATGCTGTAATCTATCAATATTATTGATTCGATGTTATATAAACAGCATTAATGTTGTTCATAACACTAATTCATTCATTCGCCATAATGTGTATATATAACTGGCGAGCCTGATGATGAAGTAGTCGAAAAGCGTATTCTTTGTTCAGTAACCATTCTTTTGATAATCCCTATAATCAATAAAAAAGATACTTTGATGGTTAATATATGACAGTTGAAGGGAGTGCCTGGATATTCGAACCCAATGTTCCTAAAAGGATGACAGCTACGCACTAATCTACACTTTCATTGGAAACTAACTAGTGTCATGCATCTAGTCATTTATTTACTGCAGACTGAATTCTATCAAATCAAGTTTGCAATGTGACCACTATGCTAGGTGGTGACTCACCATCACGGTGCACTCAGAATTGTTGTTATTGAATGGTTGGAGGCAATCAGCCACAGGAAGCCTTGCTTGACCTAGGTTTCGTGCTTGTTGACACTCACCAGTCAGTCAGCAAGGCGTATCTACAACCTTGAAGGAACAACTCATGTCCCTACCCTCTGAAATTCGAACCTGGGTCACCCAGTGCTACAGCCAGAGACTTGACTTTAGTTACTTTTTAACTAGTCTTCAATCAAAGTATCTAATCGAGTCCTAAAACAGTTAAATAGCGAGTCCAAATAGCAGCCCACTGGTAACGTCTCTGACTTCAGCAGCCGCTGGGTCACACGGGTTCGAATCTCAGAAGGGACATGAGTTGTTCCTCAAATATTGCAGATACGCCTTGTTTAGTGGCTGGTGAGTGCCAACAAGCACGATAGCTAGGGCAAGTAAGGCTTCCTGTGACCGACTGCCTTCAACCATCTATCAACAATAATCTATGCTTATGGAGTGAAACTTAAAATAATGACTTAACGGTTAATATTTGTAAGACATTATTTAATTTAGTCCCTAATATATTATTGTTATAATTGTACAGATAAAATTATAACTCCCTCAACTTATACAATACCTATAATATTATCTATAAGTACATCTTGAAAGTGTACAAACGAATACAATGTTTCTTATATTATGAAAATAACTGAAACAATGAGATAGAGGATGAGAAAAATAACTTATGGTTTATGACCTAGTTCACGCACGTTTGAACTCTGCTATGTAAACCATTTTTAAACAATTTATCAAATTGGTTAAACTTTACAGAGTATTTTCACCCTAGTATTATTCCTACACCTAAAATGTATCGTTCAATCTCTCTTGTAACACTGTTGCATTAATTCGGGTATAGAGGGAAAGCGTAGGTTATGCAGCAGTAGAATGCTCGCCAACTACGCATGTCGTTCGGGGGGTCGACCTCGACCGGTGCACTCCTACACCCCACATAGCCGGTGATAAGCGTGGAAAAGAGGGAATTTTAGACTTGAGGCTAGCAACGCCACCCCGTAAAAATGAAACCACTGCTCCTGAAACTTCAAGGCTAACAGCTTGAAGTCCTATGTTCCACTTTTGTAACGCGAAGGAATGTATCTATATAGTACTTGAGCTATCGATACCACTAGTTGAATATAACAGGTAGTAATTTATATAGAGGATAACTGGTTTATGGTGACTAGCAGTGGAATCCACCAGGATGCACATTTCGTCTTATTCGGGACTCGTCCACTGGATGTACCTGCATTCCGCAGTGAGTGATGATGTTCCCACCACGGAGGCTCGAACCCAGTGCCCATAGTTTCAAACGCCAAAGCGTTATCCACTAGACCACTTGGGTCACGAGATATACATATATATATAATATAAAAAAGGCAACTTTGTAAACGGGATAATTAATTACTGATCACTACTTACTTAGGGAGACACGACAATCTTTTGTCAACTTCAGTTTTCTAAAATCCAAGGTAGAGAAAAACGACTGTCAACAAAAATAACCCACTGGAATAAAACTGTATGCAATAAACAACAACGACGAAGTGGTATACAAAAATCGACTGATACCTGTTAAAGAACCATTGCAAACCACCATGGAGTACAGGACAGCTGTTTCGTCCTGCTGCTTGGGACTCATCGGCAGTACGCACCCACCAGTGGGGTTCGAGCCCAGGACCTTTCAGTTAGAAGGCAAGCCGATGAACTCCAAACAGGGATGAAACAGGTGTCCAGCATTCCCTGGCGGTTTTCAATGGTTCTCTAACTGGCATCAGTCTGTGATCAAACTTGAGACAAAGCAGATCCCCATAAATTCTTGAAAAAATATCGATTCTCTCTAGGATATAAAAGCCGAAAACTCTTAATGGCTTTAATTTACTATTAGCATCAGTATACTAACCCACCTCCTGATTATATACAGCAGCGGACGGTTTCATGTGGAGATTTCCTTATTCTAACTCTAATGTAGTGAACACCGAGAGAGAGAGAGAAGGTAAGAAGCAGCTACATGTATAGTACATTCAAGAGCCCAATCCACCGATGACTCCCTTATATAGTGTTATGCAAAACATACACTCAGACATGTACAGTTAAAAGCTGCTAACCTTTTCATATCTTCTACATTCAGCTACCATATTGTGCAGGCATAAAGTAGGAGATGGAGGGAACCGCTGTACAGTACACACATCTATTGATGAATAGATGAACTATAACTCCCGAAGTAAAGATTATGCAGCTTGGTAAGCACTAAACGAGATTTTTGCACCCATGCTGACTGAGATTTTGCCAGTAACCAGTCCTTTTAAGGTTGATGAGCTTGCAAACAAGTCAGATAGCGATTTAACAGCGGACGATGAATAGGTAACTTAAACTCTTTCTGGCACACTGTTATGTATATATATATATGTATATTGCTTGGGTTGTTTCTGGTATTTTTTTTCCTCAGTCTAATGTTACTTCAGTTAAAACATTGTTTGTGAAAGGTGACAACTCAGTACGAGCAATACATCAGTTGGTGGTTGGTTGACACGTCTTATTCAACGACACCTCTACGTTGATAATTATATGAAGATATAGAAAATGTCTAGCTTCTAATAACCGCAATTAGGTTCAATTTAACATAATTTACATTGTTAGAGAGAGAGAGAGAATTCAACCCGAGGTATTTAGTATACTTGTGGTGAGAGCTGTCTGCTAGCCGAAATTGGTAGGCAACAATTTACGTCAATGTTTATGCCCAGAATCGGGGTCATGAGAAAAAACAAGAACAAAGCTTAACCTTGAAGAACGCAACAACCAATCATGGCAGACCTAGCGTAGGCGGATAAGATTCGCAGATATATTACTGGACTGTCTAAGGAACGGAAACGAAGAGATGACAGAATAACCTTCAGGAGTAAAACAACCAATCAGAAGACGTTACATCTCTACCAACAATAACGACTAATAATGCACATAAAAATCTATTGATTTCCTCAATAAAGGATCAGTTGCCTGGCCCTTGTCTTCTGTCGTTACATACTTAGTGGGTTTTTAGACTGTCAAGTGAGAAATATAACTCCAGAAGTATGGAGCTGTTAATGCAGAGTTGTAAAATGACGTAGTTTTCAAATAACCCTTAATACACCTTAGTGTCTCTAACACCCTTATTAATATGCATAGCATTTAGCCACTGCTAGATTCAGGAAACGCAAATCATGTGTTGATCAAATTGCAACTCTACGCATCATCGTCGAACAGAGTATCGAATGAAAGTCAAACCTCTCTCTACCTCAACTTCATCGACTTCGAAAAGGCCTTCACCAGACAGCGTTGACTGAGAAGTAATTTGGAAACTACTTCAACACTATGGCATGCAGTGCCCCAAATCTTTATCAACCTCATTCAACAGCTGGCTATATGACAATGCCACGTGTCAGGTGATCCACAACGGGAAACTCAGCGAGGCGTTCGAAGTAAATGCGGGAGTAAAACAAGCTGGATGCCTATTATCACAGATGATATTCCTAGTTGTGGTGGACTGGATCATACCGAAGACTGTTTGTGGGAGCGAGAAAATAAGAATAATTCTTTAAAAAAACCCAATAATTTAATTCTGTGAACCCGACTGACATTCGTTCCTGTCTCTCAGTCAGCCCACCGCTTAGAAGCCTAACTCCTCGAGGGAACGTCACACGGTAATCTTAAAATATTGTGTAGTAATCAATATTATCTGAAGCAACATTCTAACAAAGATCACTTTTCCAGCCTATAGATACCGAAAGTGATAGAAGATGCCTTTAGACAATGTTTAGTTTTCTTTTCTTGGGGAAACAGTAATACGACTAGATCTTTTAAACAAATAAAACTGATAAACTAACACATTTAATTTTTGGTTTCGACCAATCCAAATCCCATAACCACGGATCGTTTTTGTACCTTGTATAAAAACAACAACAACAAAATAGTGTGCTAGTATTAATAATCTTATTATTATCATCACAAATTTACTTCATTTAGTGGGCCGCTGTTAAATTAGGGAGTACTGGACAGTTGCTTCGTCCTCGCTTGAGACTCTTCATCAGTATACACTAGTGCCTCCAGTAGGGGTCGAACCCAGGACCTTCAGGTTAAAAGGAAAACTTGTATATCACCTAGTCGTGATCAGCGAGGTCCACTCAGTTGGGCGTGACAACAGATACTCACCAATGACATTGGTTGGCGTTCATGCTACATTGCGAACTGGCAGAAGTTAGAATTGATGGGCCTAGTGGCTGCATGGTATACCAGTTCGCCTTGTAAACTGAAGACCCCTGGTGGTGCTATGGATGCGCAAGGATGAAGAGACCCTAAGTCGGACGAAGCGGATGTGTGCAGTACACTATGGTTCTCAGTGGTTCACTAAATGAAGTCAATTCGTGATCAAAATTATAATCAATCAAATCCCTTCTGGTGAGAGCTGGCTGCGAACAAGCCAAACTTGTAGACAATAATTTACGTCAATGTTTACTTCAGAGATCAGACTCATGAGAAAAAATACAATAACAAAGCTTAACCTTGAAGAACTCAACAACCAATCACAGCAGACTTTGCGTGGGTGGATATGATTGGCAGATATATGGCTCCACTTTCTGCAAAACTGACACAAGTAACACAGAATAACCTTCGACAAGAAAACAGCCAATCAGAAGAAGTTGCTGCTTCGCTGACAATAATGTACATAAAAATCTATAAATGTCTCTTGATTTTCTCAATAAACAATCTGTTGCCTAGCCTTTGTCTACTGTTGTTACACCCTGAAAAGCAACACTTTAGAACGCTTAATTTATTGACTGACAAAAATGGTTTGTTTAAACAGTAACTTAAAACAGGAATGATCGAAAGAATTGATTACATATGTTATGTAAAAGTTCTGTATCCCACCATTAGCACTGCACGAAACGAGTTTATCATGAGTATTTCCCATGAATTAACTTAGTCAGAGTGTAACGAAAGAGACAAGAGACTTTGCAACAGACTTTCTTATTGAGGAAAAACACACCATATTTACACAATTTAACCGCGTTTATGGTCAGCTAGGTCAGCAGATAACAAACTGTTCTGATTGGTTGTTGACTTTCTTAAGGTTAAACCTTGAGAATATTTCCTGGCCACAACGTAAACTAAATCCAGATTTGAGAAATAAACACTTTTACTTCTATAGCCAATGAATTAAAATATTGTTTTTAATCTTGGTTGGAAGGTTTCATCATGAGCTGACATCAATTGGAGAACCATTGGAAAACCTGCAGGGAGTACTGGACAGCTGTTTCGCCAGTCTAGTTTGGGACTCTTCAGGAGTACGCACTTTTTCGATTTTAGCTATTTCTTATCAATCTGCGTCTACATACTACTGATATAAATCTCGTCAGTAGCATCCGCCACATAACAACTTTCTACACTTACGGGGGAGAAAATTTACCAGTAATGAATCTAGTAAGGGATATTGTTGAGACACCATATGTCTACATGTAAAACTCGCTGGGAAACACGAAATGAACACTAATTGTATATCTCATCTAAGCAGCGGTTATCAAATTTTTCATTTTCAAATTACGCAGTTATAAGTGAACAACTACCATGGTTTCTTTTGGCAACTAAAAACGACTGTCAAAACATAATATCCAGTTAGCAAGCACTATTGGGTGGTGTGGACGGCTTCCAACTACTAACTGTCGATCTGTGGTGTATACGACCATGCTACAAAAAGCGGTTATCTCGATATTTACCCCTTGTGAAGCGATACAACTAAATGAGTCATAACGTGTTCTGTTTTCCAGTAATGAAGTTTTTCGCCTAACATTTAAATTTTGTCCACTTAATTAGAAAGAATCCTAAAAAGAATATTTGAAAAGATTATATCTTTTAATAGTTCGTATGATAACAGGGTAATTCTATGCGCTCACTTATGCGTTCACTCCTCCTCTAAGTCAAATCGAGCTGGTATTTCTCTCATCTGCCGACCTACTAAAAATAGCAACCACGGAGTGTTAACGCACCAGTGACCTTAAACACACTTGTCACTCGTTGGATTACAGAATCTGATGCGCTATTATAGCGTCAGTATGATGCTGTGCACGAATGTGGGGGTGCAGTTTTAGCATGGTCTCGTTTTTGAGTACTGTTTGAATAATGGGCTCATAGCACATTAGAGTTAGGGTGAGAAATAGGATTGGGGTGTTTTATTGTTACTATTATTATCCTTATCTTTATTTTTCTTGTATATAAATAAATGGAGGGGGGAGAGAGTTTCGTTGTTCATATTAGATGAGACCGTTTTGATAGCTATGGAAATTGAAAACAGATGCTCTTCACTGTAATTGGGAGGTACTTTTCAGTTACGCCATGGTAAAATATCTTCTTTAATACATGGCATATTCTGTAATTCGAAGAATGGTGTGAGTTCAAGGTGATTGGTGCGTCCGCACTCCATGGTAAGTATTCTTTATGTTTACCCTCTCGTTTGTTAGAATACCAGTTTAACTGCAATAATGTCGATGAGTGCGAGTACGAATGCTAACTGACGATATGAACACTTTGATAACTTCCTGGTCAATTATTCCCTGACCTGAACTAGAAAAATTCAGAAGATTCACACAGCAGGGTTCGAAACGTGTATTCCCGACACATGTGAGAAGAAAAGTGACTAGGAGTACAAAAATATATGGCATATATATTGATCTAGTTACAAGGCTCGAATAGTGGGCGTTAACTTCATGCTGGATTCTGATTGGTTAATGGCTATCATACGGCAACACCTGATTTGTTTTTATCTAACAGACTTATGAGATAAGTTTCGGGCACACATCAGACTGATAGACTAATGAGATAAATTGTGAGTACATAAAATTGACACAAGCTTATTTTGCCCTTCTGTATGTTACAGGATTGATCAAGAACCATTGAGAAACCTGGGGGTACTGGACAGCTGTTCCGTCCTAATTTGGGACTCTTCAGTAGTACGGAGTTCGAAACCAGGACCCTAAGGTTACCAGGCGAGCTCATAGACCATTCATCCACCGGGACCCGACCCAATGGTCCATGGATTCAAACTTCTGCCAATTCATCATATATACTTAGCCTAAACCGACCCTTGATAATTAGTCTGATGCACACTAGCGAATGGCCCTATACAGGAAGTCAGTTACCTGGGATTCTAGTGAGAACTCGTAACCAGGGAGTTCCACCAAGTCAGACAAGAGGACGGTTACTCGCCTATGACACATTGGCTTGTGGTTGGGTTACGAATCGGCAGAAGTTGAAATTCACGGATCATTGGGTCGGGTGGCCCTGGTGGGCGAATGAATGGCCTACGAGCTCGCCTCGTAACCGCAAGGTCCTGGGTTCGAACCCCGCCGGTGGTAGGTGTGTACTGCTGAAGAGTCTTCACCTAGGACTCCAAGATGTCCCGGTGGTTCTCTAACTGATGTCAGCTTGTGATCAACCCCTTTAACCAATCCGTCAAATCCCTGCAAACCAACACTTGATAATTTCTGTATGTATACACACCTAACTGACCACCACCACAACCATACTTCAGGTAACCGTCTAACCAAAAAAATAAAATAAAAAAATTAGTTTTATATAACACGCAAAACTTACCCTTCACTGGAATCACCAGAGTATTTAGCTAATGCTTGGTCAGCCAGCTGCATTAACAATTTTTTCTGTCTGGAAATATTTTCTTCATAGGCATGATCAGCGGTCTTTTGAAATTTCAACCAATTATCATTAATTGGTAGGTACATACTGCCTATCTCTAATAATCCATAAAAACTGGCTGGATGTGGAAATCTACACACAAAAAAAGAGTGAAATGAAGGATAATATGGAATAGTCTTCAGTTAAAAATTCATTATTTAGAAAATAGCTTTGAATGGTAAGAATATTCAGTCGTGTGAATATGAGGATGCTTCAAATAATAAACGTACATAAGCCAACGATTTCCAGATCACCACCTATCATGTGTCATACTGTGGTGAGAGCTGTCTACTAGCCAAATTGGTAGACAGTAATTTACGTCAATATTTACGTTCCCAAGATTTGTCATGAGAAAATGTGAACAAAGATTGATTCAAAACCGACCACAGCAGACTTTGCGTAGGCGGATGCAGTTCACATATAGAGGATTTGACATTCAAGAAACAGTCACAAATAGATGAAAGATTAACTTTACGTGAGAAACAACCAATCGGAAGACTGTGTTTGTTTGCTTCAATATCCATAGTAATGTACATGAAAATATATAAATATGCGTTGATTTCCTTAATAAATGATCTGTTGCCTGACTCTTGCCTTCTGTCGTTACACAAAGGCTTTGCGTAGGCGGATACAGTTAGCATATGGATGATCTGACACAGCCACAAAGAGATGCAAGGTTAACTTTCTGTGAGAAACAACCAATCAAAAGACTGTATTTTCTACTAACAATAATCTACAATAATGTACATTAAAATCTACAAATATGTGTTGATTTTCCTTAATAAACGATCTGTTGCCTGGCCCTTGTCTTCTGTTGTTACAATACTAGTTGAGCAGCTTACCAGATCTAAACATTAACACTAATTAAGAACTACGGTAAGTCGATTTACTCCTTTGATTACCAACTGGTCGTTGCTCTAGGAATTTAATTTTAAGTCCATAGGAACACCTGCCAGTGTGGTTCAATAAAGGTGTTGGTAAAACCATCAACAGTTCTATATAAGATCACATTGTCCATACTGGCCACAAAGCTACCACCTAGCATTGAAGAGTCTTACTTTATCATGTATCGGGTAACTAATAAAATTACCAAAGGCCTCTAGATACCGAACACTCCAAATAACAGAGGTCATTATAATTCGCCGAATTCAACCGGAGATCTGTCACCGTGGTCTGTTGTGAAACCTATAAATTCAAAAATTTTGTGTGTTACTTCCCTTAATTTATCTGATATTTAGTCAGTTTAGTGTCATATGTGATGCATATTATCTCTCTATAAACTGGTGTTTTTTAAAGGTAATCTGTAGATACTACTGATTGATTCAATGTAATTTCCAGGAAGAAGATATGCAAGTGAAAAGCAACAAGTTGGAGACAGAAGAAGCATCCAGAGAAGATAGGACTTCCTTCAGGTGAACATTGAGAAAACAGAGGTGATGAAGATTCCTGGCCAACAGCAACAGACAATAATTAGCATAAATGAGAGGAATCTAAAAGAAGAAGCCTCTTTTACCTACCTAGCTTGGAAGCATCGTTTCAACTACAGGCGGAACTGACGAGGATATAAAAACAAAGATCGAGAAAGCAAGTCAAGCTTTCATTTCTCTCAAGTCTGTGTGGAGGTCAACAGCACTACTCAGCATGAAAAATAAGATCCGTATTTTCAAATCCAATCTGAAGTCAGTGCTACTTATCATACGGATCAGAGACTTGGTGCGTCACGAAAGGCACTTCAAACAAACTACAAACCTTCATCAACAGTTGTCTTCGCTCAGTACTTCGTTCAAGATCAGATGTCCAGGAAAGATCAGCAACAGGGATCTCTGACAATGAGTGAACCAACCCAGCAGGAACCGATTGTGCAACAAATATGCAGGAAGAAATGGAGGTGGATTAACCATACTCTGAGAAAACAAACCGTCAAGTGACATCACACTCCAGGCCATTACTCGAGTGGAACCCTAACGGCAAGCGGCGAGTTGGTCGTGAGTGCTAGGGTGACATGCAGGGGGTCAAGTGAAGAAAAGATGAAAGCATGTGGACAGACGTGAAGCCAGGTGAAAACGTTAGCAGAGAGCCGAACGCAATGGAGACGTGCGGCTGAAGCCCTATGTTCCTCTAGGAATTAAGAGAAGCATAATACAATGTAATTTAAAACAGCATTGGTCTTGTTATTAACAATATTTCTCTAATTATTATGGTCACATAAATGTAGAACCTGAAGACAAATTTATCGAATATTCTATGTTCATTAATTAGTCATTTAATTTAATTTTCTTTTTTGATTACAGCTTGATTCCACGTCGTATTTTTCGTACAGGTATAGAATTTTCAGCATGTGATATCAGTAGCCTAAATTTTGCAAGCCGACTATATATATCAGGAGTGCGTCGGCAGAGGATCGAACTCCGGACCATGTGCATGATCGGCGAGAGTCCTAACCGCTGTGCCACCGACGCACATTGTTAATGAGCACCTTCAATGAATTGCTGAAGTTACAATTTCAAATTCCGCTTGTTGAATACTGATTTGAATAAGAATATATCATTACAACTCCTGAAGAACTAAGCGCAGCCTATATTCAGCAGAAATACCAGTTGATGTCACATTACTACACACCGGTGGCTTCTTGTATCCTTGATAAAAATGAAAGGTAAATCTAGCACTTTATCATTATTCAGGTAGGACATAGAACAAAACAATATCGTTTTGTTTTTCATTCATTGGGAAATACAAAAACCTTTATTATAATGAATATCATATACCTAATGCCCAAATTTTTTCAAACTGTTAAAAGTGAACTTGGTTTGCATATATATATCTTAAGGACCCTATTCAGGTAGCCTGCACCTATCTAGAAGGTTCACAGTAACAGTCAGACAGAATTCATGGACTGGAATCATAATTCCGTCTGGATATCTCTGACTTCTGTTCAGCTGCATTTCACTTAATCATTATCGCCTCTCGAGTAGGGCTGTAGTAGCTCGATATGCATAACACGTCCCAACCGCTTATTTAGTATAGGTTTACTACTGCGCAGCAGTGGATTTACTCTCCTTGTCTAACACTACATCTAGTGCGGAGACAACAAGTAGCACAGCTTTAATTCGATCCGGAATCTTTCGAGACTATAGCACCACAACTTATTACTGTTTATCCCGTCGATTCTGAGTGCAACACAGAGCCACAAAAGCACATCTACACTCCTCTCTGTTCTCTGCTGCCTTATTAAGAAAGCTGGCTTTATGGTTCCTCATAAACTCTTATTTCCCCTTGACATAATCTACTCCATGCTACCCTCGTACATACTCCCAACTCGTCGTTTCCCACTCGGGTTCCACACGAGGGCCTGGCACGTGAATACCACTCAAGTCAAACGCAAGTAAACTCACTACAGTGATTTCCGAAATATTTAGGGTTAAGAAAATAGACCTAGATTCCATACAGTGAGCGTATGTTACCTTATAGGCTTTAAGTTACCTAACTTTGTGGCATTTTGCATCTTATGGTTCTCTATTTATCCCTACTTATTTACATCACTCTAATTTTTCTAGCATGCTACATTGTCAAACTACCAAAGAAGGGCTACTTGGGTCTTTGCAAGAACTGGCGCCAAATCATGCTAATGTCCAAGTCAAGCAAAATATTAGTCCCGTCATCCTAGTGAGAGCCAAAATTGCTTTGGATGCAGAACTCCACCAGGAACAAGATGGATGAGCTTATCAAATTGCAACGCCAACCAGATATAACAGCTTTGTGGCAATGCCACGTGTCAGATGATCCACGATGGAAAACTCAGCTAGGAGTTTGAAGTGAATATAGGAGTAGGACAAGGCAGCCTGCCATTATCGGTGATAGTCCTAACAGTAGAGGACTGGACAATGCGGCATACAGTACGTGAGAAGCGAGAAGATAGGAATACGTTTGGCCAATAAGAAGACTCTAGAAGATCTGGACTTCGCTGAAGATTTGTGTCTGTTGTCACACAAACTCAAAGACCTGCAGGCGAAAAATGGCAGGCAGCGAAGACAGGACTTCAAGTGAACAAAGAGCGGACAAAGGTAATGAAGATAATTAGTCAACCAACAACAGCAACCAGCACCGATCACTATCAACGGAAGATATCTGAAAGAGGTCACATCCTGTACTTATCTAGGTAGCATCGTTTCAACTACAGGCCACAGCAGAGATGAGGATGTCAAAACAGACAAGGATCCGAAAGGCAAGGCAAGCACTTAACACTCCGAAATTAGTTTGGAAATCTTTTAAACTTATCACAAACAACAAAATTCAGGTTTTTGGCACCACTGTTGAGTGACTCACTTCTTTTATGTGGGTCAGAAACTTTCACTGCGCGCCATTAAAAGCATTTCGGATAGGTCACTGCAGACTTTCATCAGCAGCTACCTTAGAACGATGCTGAAGATCAAATGGCCTGTTAGAAAAAATTGCCAACAAGGAACTCTAGAAACAAACGAACCAATCAAGAACCTACTGCTCAACAAATATGTAGAAGAAAATCGGAATGGATTGGGCACATGCTGAGGAAACTTTCAGACGACATCACACCCCAGTCCATCGCTCCAGTGGAACTCAAGTGGGAAAAGATGAGCTGGGCGTCGGAAGGTGACATGGAGGAGCCATGTCACCTATTGTTTCCAACCGTTGGTTTTTACCGTCCCGAGGACCCAAACCAGGAAGTCTACACCTTCCTACGTAGCTTAGACTAACTGTTGTGGATTTCATTGACTGATGAAGCCATATTTTGGTTTGACCACCGCTAGCTAACTCTTTTCCAGCCTGACCTTATGTCAGCTAACATTGCCTGTTGGTCGAGGAAGGCGATGACTAGGTATACGTAACACATGTCCTAACCATCTCAGTCGATGTAGCTTCACAGCCATGTCGTTTGATTTCCCCTCCTTACCTAGCACTCGACGCCTAACCTCAATATTGCTCACCTTATTATACCATTTCACACGGAAGATAGAGCGCAGGCAGCTATGATGAAAGACAGGTAGCCAGGCTTTTCATGTCTTCCACTCTCAATGGCCAGGTCTCACAGCCGTAAAGAAGGACGGAGCGGACTGGTGAGCAGTAAACCCGTCCTTGGGCTTCAAGCTTGAATTTTCGGTAGCAGTGGTGTTTATTTTTACAGGATGGGGTTGCTAACCTCATGCCCAACCTTCCCTCTTTACGAGTCTTATTACTGGCTTAGCGAGGTAAAGGAGAGTGTCAGCCGGGGATCGAACACCGGACCATGTGCATGGTCGGCGAGCATCCTAACCGCTGCGCCACCAACGCACTCGCAGTGTTACCTGCTAACTAGTATATTCAATTTCGTGACAAAATAAGTAACAATTAGCAACGTATGTAGTAATATCACTGACTGACTCAATGAAGAAAGAAAAAAACCAGCTAAATTTTTTATTATGATGCTGCATACTACTGATTGACTGATATGAGTAGTTGGATACTACTCACACATCAATCAGTAGTGTTTGCTAACAAGATTATCGAAGTGATCTAACCGCCGGACGACTGTTCCCCTCGTTTTAGACCTAATCCGGTTTAACTCAGGTCAGAGCAGCTGAATCAGCTTAAATCACTCGATTTCTGGATAACTGCTCGGGTGAAGTGATAAAGCATTGGATGTCATATTGTATGATTTTAATCAACTATATGATATTGTGAGTCAGCTTACCTTTCTTTAAAAATAGGCCATAAAACCTTCAATATTTCATAGGTCATCAGTACATCTGTTGCACAGTATTTGAATAGACTCTAAAAAGAGAAAGGCAATTGTAATCATCAGACATCACAGGGGAGAAACAATCTGAATAAGCGTTTAGATGTCGAGAGGTCTTTTTAAATAATCGTTAAATATACATTGCAGTTTGAATAATGCACATATATCCAACAGATAACAATGATTTGATGATATTAAATGTTTGGAGGCAATCAGCCACAGGAAGCCTTGCTTGACCTACGTTTCTTGTTAGTTGGCACTCACCAGTCAGCAAGGCGTATCTGCAATACTGGCGGAACTCATGTCTCTTCTGAGATTCAAACCCGTATCACCTAGTGAGTGCTACAGTCAGAAACTGGCATCCTCCATTTTGTAGGGCTGCATCAGATACGGCTTGCTGACAAGTACCAACAAGCACGAAACCTTCCTGCCGATTGCCTTCAACCATCCAATAACAACAATGCTGAGTGTACCATGATGGCGAGCCACTTGACTGATAGAATTCAGTATGCAGCAAACAAAGGACTAGATACGCATGACACCAGTTAGCGTCCAATCAAAGTATACATCTTGTTTAAAAATTCGCCCTACTTTTGATCAAAATCAATACACACAATTATCCAGACATGAATGAATTAAATAAAAATGGAAAATAGACATGATAATATCGCTACAACACTATAAATTTTAATATATTGTAACGACAGAAGATCGTTTATTGAGAAAATCAAGAGATATTTATAGATTTTTATGTGCATTATTATTAGCGTTATTGTTAGCGGAGAAGCAACCTCTTCTGATTGGTTGTTTTCTTGCTGAAGGTTATTCTGTTATCTCTTTATGGCCGTTTCTTAGAAAGTTAAGCCACATATCTGCGAATCGTATTTGCACACATTAAATCTGCTGTGATTGGTTGGTGAGTTCCTCAGGGTTGAGCTTTGTTATTGTTTTTGCGCATGACCCTGATTCGGGACGTGAACATTGACGTAAATTGTTGTCTACAATTTTGGCTTGCAGACAGCTCTCAACGCAGTATGATCAAGTTATAATTCTAAGAAATAAAGGGACTTATTAGGACAGAGTAACTCATTTTTCAATCATGAGAATATACTAATCGAGTCTGCTAGCTAACTGTAAAAGCATTCGAACAGTATTCATTATAAACACAAACGCACACACGCACACACATAAACGCAAAGTATAACAAAAGTGAAACGTAGTTATTTTCAGTAACCAAGATAACGGAATCAACTCACTCTGGAGTGAACAATTTGAGTTTAATAACTGCTATCTGTAAGTTTTAGTGGAAATAAATTAGATGATTTTAATGTTTCCTACCAATTAAATAATGCACAAACAACATCCTTTTTAATTTCATCAGGAGTTAGAAAACTAGTGTACACTTCCTATTCTGGCAATATCCAGACAGTGGACAACTGAAGATTTGAAGTAAGTTAGATGAACTCTTTGTTACTGATCCATGACACTTTTTACTCCTCAGTGAGACAATAATTTTTCAAGTATTGGTTTTGTAGGGATTTTCATTGATTAGATGGAGGATTTCATCATGAGCTGACATCAGTAAGAGAACCACAGGAAAACCTGGGAGTACTGGACAGCTGTTTCGTCATAGTTTGGGACTCTTCAGCAGCACGCAACCACCACCAGTCGCTAGTGAGCATCAGATTAGTTTTCAAGTATGTCATGAATTGGCAGAAGTTAGAATTCATGGGCTGGCCATTGGATGGGGTTCCAGTGGCTCAATGGTCTACAAGCTCGCTCGCCTTGTAACCAGAAGGTCCTGGATTTGAACCTTGGCGGCGGGTGTATACTGATGAAGAGTCCCAAACTAGGACGAAAAGATAATTTTTCTTGGGATTTCAAGAATCTTTAAGTACAGACTTTACACCGTGAATCAAAATGTGTCAATTAGAGCTCAAAAAGTAGAATTAATTCTACAGTCTAATCTAGAACAGTTAGTGAAGCCCCAATAGTCTGTTGGGGGGGGGACATGGGTAGGGTGGTAAGTTTCATCACAAAGAAAATACATAAAATATCGGTGGCTCAGTGATAGATTGCCCAACACCCACCACACATCACGTGGTGCGGGGGTGGGTGCCGCCCTGCACCGCCGACGCACTACTAGACTTCGCTTAGCTTGTGGTAAGCCCGATAAGAAGGGTAGACTTGGCGTGAGGCTAGAAACAACACAGCCACGCTACTGCAACTTCAAAGCTCAAAGCTTGAAGCCAATATGTTCCAATCGGAACGTAAAGGAATAAAAAAAGAATAACCCATCCATTTCCGTCTTTAAAATAATTCATTCCTCCAACTGTTATGTTTCACAATACAATAGGGATGAATACCGCTTAATTATGCCAACAGCATATACCATAGGGCTAACTGATCTCTCAGCCAGCAACTTAAGCGAAAGAGCACAGAAGACGAGACGAGAAGTAACGGTATATTTAACCATTAAAGCATAATTCAAAACATCACCAGGGATATGGTAATTAGTCTGTAATTATGATCAATGAAATATTGGGCGTTATTTTAAGTGAGCCGGATTCTGACTGGTTTATTTCCAGACAGGATATCGACCACCACATCAGCTCTCCATTTGGTAAGGATACTTAACGGGGTTAACCTGGAACCGCATCGTCTGTTTTCCTGCATCTGGTTGACTGACGTCGACGGAGTGGTCTGTTGTTTACTGGAAGGTTTGGAGTATTTGTGCCCTCCTGCCCCCCATCAGACCGTGAGCTTTGGAGCGCTTGAGAACTTATTGTTTGAGACGAGAGAGTTTGGTATCAAATTGTGGTAATGAAACACCTGGCTCAGGCTCTTTAGTTGAGAAATAGGCGTAGCACCATCCGGTGGACGTAGAGTTCGAACAGTGACGAATCTTTGACGGGCGGGTGCTGATTGAGAACGGCGACTGTGGCTACTTGTAGAGGATGGCCGTTGTGAATGTTGCTGGTTAAAACCATCTTTGTGTCCAACATTAGTGTAGTAATGATATCATTGTTGCTTATACGGACAAGATTTGATGAAATGCCAAGCACCACAATGCTAGTAAGATGATGGTGGTCCCATCTTTGGGCATTGATTGGTATTGCGTGAGTAGCTGGGACGATGGACGTTTGAGGTAGGATCAAGGGGAGTGGAGCCAAAGGTTGATGCTGAGGCTTTGAGAGGCCTGGGGAACAACTATATTAATTTTAGGACTACCCTGGCGACCAGATTGGACTGAGCTGATTGTTCGAGAATTTCGCTCAACGTAGGAAAATCCAACAACCGCGTCTCCAAAACCAATACACACGTTTTTCAACTTATTTTAAAAGATATCAAGTCAGTATAATATGAAGATATGGTCCCCAACATTAAGAAGCCGTAATTCTGCACTAACAGTCCGCAAACCCAATGTGAAGGGATTCCAAATAATAATAATTCTAATACTGATTAACCAGAAGCTTTATCATTAATATGCACACTGGAAGAAAAGGAAGAAATCTAACCGATATGAGAAAACCCTCATATGGAGCAAAAACAAAATATTATGTCAAGATTGTGTAAAGCATGAAAGATTTGTCCAACTAATTAAATGCATCCATTAAATTTACATCTGCATAAAAAACTAAACGATTAGTTTGTTATGTTATAGGCTAACTTTTAAAGAGACGTTTCCGTAATAACACTAGGGGAAGGATTAGACATTAAAAACTATATAGAGCAAAAATATAAGTGATGATAATAAAAGTGCGATATTGATTACCTGAAAATTTGAATGAACATCTTCAATTGTGCCTGATTCAAAAACTGATCTCAATTCTTTATTCTGTGGAGGTTCTTTTTTACAATACAAACGATAAATATCACCCAGACTGTTTAAACTAGTTTCTGAAAGCCATTCGAGATCCTTAAAGCAAAAAATAAACACATTAGCATTTAAATCAACCATCAAATTGTTCACAAGGATAAATTTCATTCTTTTTTAAAATTGGGAATTGTTATAGTTTCGAAGTCTAAATAGGTGTACACAAATGTACAGTAAGGCGCAGGTGACAGAAAAATTTAGGCATATAGGGAAATATTAAATGTAACAAAAAGAAGTGGAAACAAAACACGTAGGTCAGCGAAGAGACTCTTTTCAGCAAATTCATTTCCCGCTGTAGCTGTATGATTTTATTGCATGAAAGACAGTAGTAACAAAAGTGATGATTTATCGCAAACAGTTTTTAATGTGAGTCAATGCATAAGACGAACTGAATAAGTGTGTCAGAGTTACGTAATAAGATCAATGATTTAATGAATGAGTTGTAATCACGATTCACATAAAAATGAAAGAAATGTCAGAGTCATAAGGAGTCAGGAAAACAAACAAACAAATAAATAAAAATGAAGTTGGTAGAATTCAACAAGGTTGTTACCATGAAAGTAGAAATAGTTGGATAATTTTCTGTTTTGTTCCAAAGTGTTCCAAAAAAAGAAACTTTACGTGGACCTAGGTTTCCAGAGAGACTTAACCTGCGATACCATTGAAAGAAGAATTTCATCATCCTTAGGAAAAACATTTTCCGCACCAACGCTAAGAGAAGTGTTCTCCAGTCGTCAATCGGTCTGCAGAAGCCCTAAGGACAAGATCTCGATTCTGATCACTTCTATGTGCATATATCAGTTCACCTGTTCTTGTGGAGCAGCGTATATTGGTCGTTAGACGCATATCTTGTCTAAAAGTGTTCAAGAACACTATCCTGCATGGTTTCAAAAAGACAGTAGTGGATTTATAAGGAGTCTGATAATTGAACGCTTTGTCGACATCGATTATTCTGTCTCAACAAACGCCAAAGGCAACGCACACTTTCGTCTTCTTTGCATTGCTGAAGCCTTAGACATTCAGATAGAGAAACCGGAATTATGCATAGAAGAGAAAATTATTCAACCACTTATACCGTCTTGGTAACAACCTTGTTGACTTCTACTAACTCTCTTTTTGGTTGTTTGTTTTTCTGACTCCGTATACCTGTGGCATTTCTTTAGAATTCCTACATAATTCCATATTTCCCTTGGTTTTATATGCATTCTGATTACAACTCATTTCTGAAATTATTCATCGTACACTTATTCGATTCCTGACTAGTATTAACGGCTATGTTTGTGACAACTCATCACTTTCGTTACTACTGTTTTTCATGAGAAAAGAATTGTACGTAAATGCGATTGTACGACTAAAGGAGGAAATGAATTCGCTGAACTATGTGTTTTGTTTTCATTAAAGTCTGGATGGGGATTATTCATAAACAAAAAAGTAACCAATTGGTGAATTTTGGTGGATTAAGAAGTGGAAAAATAAAAGTCCACCATGATTATATTTTATCATGAAGACGAAATTTCTTTTGGATCCCACCAGAGTATTTTACTTAGTATTTTCCTCTTTCCCAACTTTTCCCAATTAAACACTACTTAGTTTTGAATTGATTCACCAGTTCCTCCTATGAAAGCCACTCGCAAGTGCTTATCAAATGCGAAATTTGGTGATTGTAGTCTTGAAATTAGGTTTCATAAATATCTAAAGCCTAGTAACGAAAAAAGACTTAGTCCAAATGAAACTAATATTATGCCATTTAAGGCTAAAGTTATGAATGTTACTATCGTTCCACTTTGTAAAGCCACACTCTATATGAATTTACACCTTAGCCATGGGGCAAAGGAACGCAGATTAGGTATTTAGGTGGGCTTCACATATTCACTATGGATAAGATTTTATTCTGATAAGTCACACAGTGTTATACAGTAATATTAATTGATGACCACGTTTCGAGCACTAACTATTGCTCATAATCATATCAAGTTACTCACACAACTTTTTCCTTCATTTATGTCCATGAGTGGAATTGATTAGATATTTGAATAAAATTCATCATGGGATAAGGTACATTCAGAAATAACAATGAGTGTTATTGATCAATTACAATCAGATGGGAAATAAGACGAGTGTTTTAATAGTCAAAATAAGTAACTTGTTAGGATGTTATAATGCATGTGAATTGAAATAGAATTTTAAGATTATTTATTATACTCTTCTGATTTGACTGACCGGTGGTAATAATATCCTCCATAAATATCGCTGGTATTCGCATTGAGTCATCTCTGTTGCATGTGTTGGGTGTAGATTATTCGATGAACTAGGATTCAGTAATCAATCTCTCTCTCCACCTACATATATTACTTCTTAGAGTTTTAACCCTCTCCCACCCTATTGTGTGATTGTGTGTTAATGTGTTTATCACACAATAGGGTGGGAGAGGGTTAAAACTCTAAGAAGTAATATATGTAGGTGGAGAAAGAGATTGATTACTGAATCCTGGTTCATTGACTCTAAACCCAACACATGCAACAGAAATGACTCAGTGCAAATAACAGAGATATGGAAGATAATACTACCAATCAAGTCAAGCTATGGAAAATAATGGAATTTTATTAACGAAGTAAGAAAGTTGTGTAACTTGATATGATTATGAGCAATAGTTTGTGCTCAAAACGTGGTCATCAGTTAATATTACTGTATAACACTGTGTGATTTATCAAAATAAAATCCTATCCATAATGGAGTTATACTGTACCACAGTGCCCAAGTTTCATATATTCAATTAGCACTGATGCCTTATGAAACTGGTTTCAAACATCAATACACACTGTCCAATTAAGCTGCATGCCGTAAGTATATAATGGGCTACTTATACGGTTCATTCGTGGTACCATATACTCCATAAACGCTACTTTTTAAAGTCTGAAGAGTGAAATTGTAACAGAAATCGAAATCAAGTTATCAATCAAAATATACACACAACAGAATATGAAAAAACACGTGCGGTAGCGGAACACAGAGACGGAGAACATTTTTATACTAACCATAACGAATGCTTCTGTATCTGGTTTCGAATCCAAAGTCTGACTGTCAGCTCGTTTTCCCATGTACTCCTGCCATGTTTTATTGTTAAAAAGGTGTTTATCAGCAGATGTTTTTAAGAATCTTTGAGTACTTGTCAAACCCGATACAGCAACATGAAGAGAAAGAGTATCCACAAAACGAATTCCTGTTGCCTAGTAGATTAAAAATTAGCAATTAAACATACATACATCTAACAGGTACTCCTCTGATATTCTAGCTCGATCATAACTGACAAAATGTCCGACTATACACTTGGAAGTATTTTTATCTTTTGAACCATATATAGGGATTAGAGAATCGAAAACGTCATTTCCAAGAGGCTTATCATGGCATGAAAGACGTTTAGACGTCCAGGAATACCTAGAAACTTAAAAGTTGATTATTTACAAACTACCATCCTTCTGGTGTGAGAGCCACTGCCATGGTCGGGGCATGTCCTTCTTTAACAAGAACTTCGATATCGAAGATAACAGCATCTTCATGAGGTGCTTCTACAGGGTATGCTTTATCGTCAACATATCTTTGATATAATAATATTACATTTTTTAATTTGCATACTTTGTCCATCCAGCAGTAGATTCCCAAGTTTTGGGTAGTTCTGGTGGGGAACTAAAACTCTCCAACAGTTTTATGTATGGATGAGCAAGTTCCTTAGCAACGGAATCTAGATGATCTTTAATATTGTTCCCATTCAATTCAGGGAGATTAAAATAAAGCGGTTTTTTATCACACTTCGTGGCGGATATATCAATCCCTAAACGATTGAATTCTTGGAGTATTTCAGATGAAGCTTTTGGATATTCATATTTCTGACAGTTGAACAAAAGCTTCTGAAGATCCCGATGAATCATCAATATATTGGCCTCATTGTAAGTAGACGATTGCTTGGGAAAATTGGACGATTGCCGAAAGCAATACTGTTGAAAGCGAATTCCGGGATAATTGCATTTTAAAATCAACCTTCTGTACATAGTGTAACGGACTATACGTGGTAGTAATTACAGGTTAGGATAAAATTGTTCGCCATGAAACACCAAAGAACTACCTGAAAAAAAATAAAATGCTATTTACATAAATTCTTGTATAAACATCGAAAAGAAAAAATACAAAACGTACTTATGACATGCACGTGCATGGTCAATAGGAGATGGTACAGTAAGGACACCCGGAAGTGAACCACATAGAATATAAAAATAAAAATATAGGAAGAAACTATGAATGTTAGAAACAGCAACAGTGTCGGAAAGTCTATCTGACAAGTTATATTTTAAAATATTCACTATTTTTTTATGTTTAGAAAGCTTTATTTTACGAAATCAGCATACATGAGCTGCGATAAGAATTAAGTGGTTAATTTGTCATGCTTTTTGAGCATTGTTAAATTTGGGTTTTGAATATAAACAGAACAGCCATTCAAAATCCTTATCATGTGGGTAAATATTACTCAACTACGATACATCAAACTATTTTCAAAGAGCGAGCTAACTAGAATTTGGTCAGTTTGAAATGAAAACACTGCTTTTTAAAAGTATTTCAATAAATACTGATGTTGAACCATCTTACTTTACTACCTACATCTCACTACTTTAGTTGATAGGCATCTGAATACATACGAAAAATGGTCAAAAACCATACTCTCCGACCCCCAACACCCCCTCTATTCCCAACTCTCGCCTTGTATCTCATCAAGTAAAACCAGAAATCAGTATAAAATAATCTATGCTCGTACAACCAAGTACAGGAACTCAACGATACTATACTTGGCCCGTGTTCTAAGCGACAGAGACAATGTTAAGTGTGAAACTTATGACTTGCTCTGTTATTAACGACATAATTTTAGGCTCTTTTATTTCTCTCTTATTTTGTATTCTTTAGTGAACTCCTTCTCAAACATACTTAGCTACCTAAAATACTAACATTGGCTTCCTTTTTTGTACTTTACTATATTCCTTCTATTGTGTATCCACTGGTTCCGACTCTATTAGCACTATGAGTATTACAAAATTGTCCTGTCATTAGCCATCATGTAATATTAGTTTTGTGGCTGTTTTTTCTTATTTTTCTATACTTTTCGGCAATATTAAACTGACAATCATTGGTTGTGAACGCCATAGTCACCACCTTAAAAAATTTTGTATTATTCAGGATTACTCACACTACCACCACAAACACTGCATCAGACTTTGGTAGACTTTTGTACTTTTTCGCATTTATAATTATGTGTTTATCCTGTTTTTTTTGCTGTTGGTGTCTTCAGATTTATTTTTTTGTTTGTTTAATACTTATTTTAAATGTCTGTAAAATTAGATGCAAATACTGTAGATATGTGCTGAAAATTCCACACTGTACCACTAGTACTGTTTCTGGAATAAAGCAAATTATTATTATGTGAAAAGTTTGAGACAGCAAACTATCAATCGAAGCACAACACTATGTGCATTTCAAGCACAGCGATATTGACTTTTTCGCAGTATCATCACTGTTACATGTTGTCGGGAAACGAAGATATCTGCACTTCTAGAGTCATATGAACACTCGGACTACATCCAAAATGGTGATGCTAACCTAGTAAAATCACTCTCTATCCCACAAGAAATGCTTGAAGGTCATTAAGGGGATAGTGAAGGGTTGGAAATGAGAAAAGAAGAGCCCCACAGTCCGAGGGAAACAAACAACGCATCAACCTCCATCACTCACCGACAGTCACAGGAACACGGTCAGTGATGTTGCTATACTTCCTTTTGAATCAGGCTTCGGATCAGAGGCTTAGGGTTTGGTTACTCTAAACAACTGTTTGCATTCGTCTGGGTATCTAAGTATTATCTCAGTGACTACAAGAATTATGAAATAATTTAATAGTAAAAGAGGGCTTTTAAAAAGGATCTAAATGTAAAACTGTGTAATAATTGACAACTTTAGTTCACCATCTGTCTATCGACAGCTTTCAACTCTCATATAGTCGGGAAAGACAAATTGATCACCGTTGGTAAAATCATTACCAACATACAACAGTCCTAAGAATAAACGAGGAAATCGTATGATGACTAATAACAATGAATTAAATTTAAAGTAAGAGCAAATGTTGATGGACTATAATTAACCAATGTAGGTATCTCCGACAGCGGTTTTTAATACCTGGCCAACAACCCTCAGTTGCGGTTGAACGGAATACCTGATAAAAGTAAGACCTAAATTCCCAAGATCAACCTTTTATGGGAAGACTGACGATTACCACTGACTAAATATGAGTTTCTCACATCTACCGAATTAGAATATAAGAGATCGACAGTAGCTCATTAGTCTAAGGTCTAATAATGATGCATTTCTCTAGGCACAATTCAAAGTACTGAAGTCGAGCGTTAAGTTTTCTTGGACGAAGCGCCTATAGAAAATCGAAGGTAGATTGCACTGGAATGAAACTTATAAAATTAAAGGGAAGATTTTCTAACTTCTCTTTTTGAAGTGCAATCAGTAAACTTGTGTCCAATAACCCCAAAATATGCCATAAGGCATAATTCGCTACCAGCTTAGTATATTCTGTTTCAGAGCAAACACTCAAGTGTTTCGTGATCACTATAATAACTATTGTCATGTCTGTGTATTTTTTTCCACTGAAATGGCAAAGACATACGCAAGTTTTTCTTGCAACTAGACTCTTGATGGTATATTTAAAATAATTGTCGTCATTTACCCCATAATGTGTCGAGTGACTAGAGCAATTATGTGGATATACTGGACTACAGAATGTCCCGTTGCTACTATTTGCAGAGTAAATACAGCTCATGCCTGAGGAGTAATTTGGTGATGAATGTGGGATTTTGAGGCAGATGAATGCACACATTTTAAAATAGGCGTTAGGACGCTGTCATTTCCCCTAATGGTCGAAAACTTTTATTTAGTGGGGTACATAAGAAATGCTAATAAACAAATGATTACCTACAGTCATAATTTAGATATATTTCTTTTGTTTCGAGCATATGGTGAGGTAAAATATATGCATCATAACAGTGTGAACAAACCGTACCTAAAAATATTGTCAAACGAAAACAAACGTGACGACCTTGAACTGAATTCCCACACTTATATACATTTATATGATTCCAATAATCAAAGTTCACAGATCATTCTGTGAAAGCAACAAAGCAGCCGTCTTCACAAGTCTGAAACCAAAACTTTGAGTTTCCAAAACATGTCTGCTGCCAAACATCCAAACATCGAGAACTAATTCTACATCATCTGTCTGAAGCTAGAGTGGAGTGTGACCTCTTGAACTTACTATACACCTGCTACATATTTTTTGAAAGCACCTGACAATCTCTAGCATTTATCGCCAGCATGATCTATAAGTCACTTAAGCCTTATATTAGTAACCTAGAACCTATCCTCAGTATGTTCTACCTTAAAATGTATGTCATCAGATTTGATAGCTATCTCCTGGAAAATCTAGAGATTTCACAGGGGCAGATCCTTATACCTGAATAATGTAAGTCGCTAAACAGAGCAATAAGTAATAACATTTGAGGAAATTTTAGTGGGAGCTACATAATGCCCGTCAGGAATGGGATCGGTATATTTACCAAGTTGGCGGCCAGCATATATCTTAGGCAACCAAAACATGCATTCATCATTATATTGCATCTAATTTTTCGTGTTAAGCTTGTCTTAAACTATTAACCTATTTAAAGATGACCTCCGATCATACTGTTTATACTCGCAAACACTCAAAATGATTAAAACCTGAGGATTTGCAAATTTCCACGAAAACTTGGGAAAGCACCACTTTCGGTGGCAGCGTGCTTCAAAATGTATTCCACTACATCAAATGACTGTCCATGAGATTCTCAGTACAATTAGTCGCCCCCAACCATGCGAAAACAACTCTCTGCAATCTCTCCTATTCTCCACTGTATACTACAATGCAGGGATTATAACTCTGGTGTGTGTTAATGATAAGATTTATCAGTAGTACATATTTACAGAGATGTTCATTGTCATAAAAACATCAAACAGCAGGGAGATAGATCTGATGTGAGAGAAAGCAAATGAAACAACATTGTTGAGATTCATGGGAGACGTAAAATGAACACAAAGACACAATATGAAGGCCAAGAGTAGCACAACACGAAGATCTGTGCAAATTGTGCGCTGAAGATAAGATATACATAATTTGGACATATAGAGATAACAAATTCCTAACAAATATTATCAAGTCTTTCGTCTCCTTCCATTTCACCATGACATATATGATGATAATTTAGTCCGTCTGAATGCTTTCAGGCTATTTAGACAAGACCGGTTTAGTTCTAAGAATTGCGGCGGAGCCTTTGCAATCTTTACCGATTCTCAGGGCTGTACTTCTAACACTGTGTTTCAGATTGACTGCCTCACTGTTAAGTGTTAACTGAAGCACCTGTCTAAATGCAACTACATATATTTCTAAAATTTTCACTGCACCTGGATGTAGTCAGTCAGAATTATTATCATTCGTTGATGAATTTATTTCCTTTGCTGCCATCTACCCCGGCAACTCCATTTCAGTATTCACTGGAGACTTCATTTCTTGTAAGTACATTTTCCTAGCATCATTAAGTCATGGAAATACTGTCAACTTCCTAACTCGACTAGACAGTATTCTTGGTTTGACGTTCACAAATGACTTAGGGATATATGAAGCTCGGAAACGAACCTCACTGGTAAATTCGGATCTGTATATCATACGCACACTGCTTAAAATATAGAGAAAGCTGTACAAAAGGCCTTTTTTGCACCTTGCTTAGAAACCTCAGCACATATGTTACCCTCAGGACAATATTCAGAATCTAAGGAGCACGCCAGACAATACAACTGGGACTTATTTATTGAACAATTTATGAATGACAAAGTCACAAACGTAGCATATAATCCCAAGCTCTACCTTGATGGTTGTTGCCCAAAAAGAACAATCTTCCTGTCAATGTTCAGGTCTAACTACACTGGACTTAACGCTGTCCTTAGAAGACCTTCAGCAACAGTGTGCAATAACCAACGCGAAAAAACAGAACACAGATTGGTGACTCGAGAATCCTTTATTCTTGCACCAATATGGAACCAACCATAAGGTTATTATACACAAAGTCTAAGAATAAATGTCATAACAATTAATCACAATAATACTTCTGATAGTATTTCTCCGTCTTCTGACGAACAGCGTGCGATAGAACCATGGCTTCAGAATAGGTGACTCCCTCCAAAATATGGAGTTGGTTTTGAGTAAACAACCATGAATTGATCGTTCATTCTTCAACCACATTGACACTTCATAAAATCTGAGCTCTTCCAATCGTCTCAGCCCAAAAAGCTTCACCTAGAGAAAGAGAGGTTATACAATGTGAAAGACAGTCTTGGGGTAAAGAGACTGAACATTTCAATTAAAGCAGAAATACAGAGGTAAAATATTATCTACAGCCAAAATTTTGTATCGTACAAAACCTCATGAAATATGTGGGAACTATTTAACGGAATCCAGGTGGTCTGACTGTTTCCATGCCGGTAACTCATCACCCCGATCGCTCCCAAATGAATTACCTTTTACTAGAAACTAGTCAGTGAACCTTGTTAAACGGTCTTGTGCTAAATGTCTCCACATGTCAGGTTGTTATTTTCACTTTCAGACACGCAAGCACAGTTTACATTAACTGGTCTGTTCGCATAGTTCAAGTATCATAGATGACAGTGAAGTTGAATCTAAGCTGGGTGTTAAATATCCTAGACAGTGTATTTTTTATCTCTCTCAGTCTTCATACACCATGTTAGTTTCTAGGAAGAAATTTCGTTCAACTCCTTCTATGTAAAGAAGCTAATACAATCCGGTATCGCTCAGTCAGTCTCTACCGCAACAAATTGTTAATTCTTGTATTCTACTGTTTCTTTTTATTTGCTTCCCCTCAACCTTTCCTGGACTACTAAGGAGGACTTTGTCAAACTGTGAGTTGCATACAATGCTATAGATAAACACTTAGGCTCATGAAAGAGATTGGTCAGTACCTGATCATCCCCTCTACACACAACTCTCCTTACATCTATCCCACTAGGTAGGACTAGAAACAACATTAGAAGAGGATACCCCTGGACAGCTAAGTGCAAAAGCTCCACAGTACTCATTTAGCACACATTTTACGTAACGAGAAAAGTTTAAGGCACAACACCACCAACTGGCTGCGAAACATGAAGTAAATGGCCCTCTCTTTTTCATTAAACGTTCGTTAATTCTGACATTGCATCTTCGGATACTAAAGGTGTACTTTATATACCGTGAATCAGACCGTTTATGGTTCATTGGACTGCTGTGGATTTTTGTTTGGTCGCAAATCCTCATAAACTGTGAGCCACTTTGTGTTCAGCCATTGCACTCTTGTTATTTGGACGGTGGATGACCTCATAATTGAAGGCATGTTCCGTGTTTATCTGATGCATTTTTAAGGCACCAATCATAATGTTGAAATACATCGTTTGTACACTGACACATACATCAAGAGCCAGGAAACATCAGAACCCGTCCCACTCATGTTCCACTCATCTCCTTATAAGTCAGTTACTCTTCAGTCCGACAATCCACCCACTGTGAAGTACCAGTCCAATGTAGCTATCCATGTTAGCAAGTCCTCTAGGCATTATGACAAACGTCCCATTTCCATTAGGAAAACTAAAGCGCCAGAAGAGTCTAAGCAACAGAAACCCTTTATAGTATGTGCTGGCTGCCTGTTAGTCACCATCAACCAGTTAAACACAAGAAAGAAGATAGTGAAGTAAATAAATTAAATTCTGAACCCAGAACACGAAAGCTTATCGTTGTGGTAGATACGCAAGCTCCTCTAAGCCATCTTTCTAAAAGACAGCCAGTTATGGTAGACAAATCTCCTAGAGGTAGGCGTAATTGGTTTCAGGTGTAAGGCCAATTAAATTCTAGACAAACAATACAGCGAGGTAGTCAGTATTATTCTGCTTATCCACTACTCAAACTCGTGGTTAGCTAGCCCCCTTTAAATGTCCTGTCAACTGAAATTTATAGAAAATCCCCTAAACATAGGCTACAGACTACATTCAGAAAGCCAAATAAACCCACAGAACCCATTCATGCATCTTATGTATTTAGTGGGGGCATGTGCCGATGTCTGTACAAAACTCTTCATAGTCTGGTAACTACCCTAAACAGATACCAATACTTCATTCCTATTCTAGCAACAAATTACCGAAGGCTCACATCGAGTGCACCTTTCGCAATAACACTGTCTCTACTAGCCGTTACGGGCAGGATATTCACCAGCGTCAGTTAACAGAAACACGCATGATATCCAATCAGTTCCATGCTGGCATAGCGAACAGTCTACAGCTAGGACAAGGCATATTTCCCAGAGGTAGCTGACATAATCTCGGCACCAAACGCGGATACTAATATCTCTAAAATACCAATATGTAATTGTCCCACAGGTGTCTCATTGCATACCCTATCCAAACGACAAATAACCCTTGAATGCCGCCTCACAAACCCGCCTAAAGTATTTCTATGATTCACAGATGGTGGTTAGTGAGTCTAAAAACATGTATGCAGAGGGCAGTCGCGGGGTATTTTATCAGGATGTTGTCAGCAAACTGAAACCATATAGCCAGTGTAATCTGTTGTCCTCGCAAATATTAGATCAGTTCTAAACAAACACTCAGCACTGAGTACACTAGCTTCTGTACTCAGACCGCCATTGATTATGATCATTGAAGCTTTGTGCACAAGTTAAATCTCCAATGACAGCCTAATAATGGACAATTACCACCTTTTTGACAGGACAGAGAGACAAGCCGTAGGGTGAATCACTAGTTTACTGTGAAAATTCCATGTGTGCAGCCCAGTTCATTAACCCAATTCTGTCACTACTCAATGACTCTATCTGGGTCGAAATAAATTTGTCAGAAGCAAATCTATACTTGTGCGTTGTGTGTACCAACCCCCTTCATCCAGCAGGGAATATGATAATATGCTCCGCAATATTTTTGATGTTACAGCCAATCTTCCCTTCAGTTT